ACAGAGGCACTAATCATGGCAGCACAAGAACAAGCTCTGAGCACAAGATCCATAGAGGCTGGGGTCTATCACACCAGGCAAGACCCCAGGTGCAGGCTGTGTAAAGATGCCCCAGAGACAATCCAGCACATAACAGCAGGGTGCAAGATGCTAGCAGGCAAGGCATACATGGAACGCCATAACCAAGTGGCCGGCATAGTGTACAGGAACATCTGTGCTGAGTATAACCTGGAAGTCCCGAGGTCAAAATGGGAGACGCCCCCAAGGGTGGTGGAGAATGACCGAGCTAAGATCCTGTGGGACTTCCAGATACAGATGGACAAAATGATTGAAATATCTATATACAGTGTCCCTCGCTATAATGCGGTTCACCTTTTGCAGCCTTGCTGTCTCACTGATTTTTTTTTGTGCAATTTTGCATGCTTTTTTTTTCTTTTACAGCGTATTGTGTTCTGTGTCCTGATTGGCTGTAGACCATTGTCAGTCAGACACCTCCGTGCCGTGTCTCCTGTACAGTACAGAATGCGTTCAGTTTGTCAAATTTACATAAATCTTCAATTGCTAGCACTGTGACTCTGAAACATACAGTATAGCACTGTATGTTTGTAAGTTTTCTCCCCAACAAACACAACAATGTCGACTAAACGTTTTGCACCGTCAAAGGCACCTGCGGTAGCACCCAAAAGGCAGGGAAGTGTCATGGTCCGGGTGAGTACGGGGTTTTTCCACTCCGCTGGGCTCCACCTTCAGGGAGAGACTCCAATCAGCTTCCACACCTGGTTCCAATCAAGTCACCAGCATATAAGACCAGCATTCACAACAGACCTCTGCCAGATCTTCTGCTAACTCACGACCCACCTGGCAGTTGCGCTTCCCAACCTAAACTACTCACATCTCCGCCTGGACGCTGGTTCTGTCATCTGGTTGCTTCCTTTCCATCATTGGACTACACCTGTCTGCCTCCCTGCCAAGTCCCTCACTCCAAGCATATTCTGGATCCTCTCTGGCCACTCCTCACCCGGAACCCCCTGGACACCCCCTCCTCGCATGACACTTTAACCTGCAACGCGTAAGCCCTAACCACCATAGTCTAATCCTTCAGCTGTGATTCACTAGACTGCCACTGACTACTTGTCTCCTCTCATTATAGTGACTGCGTACCTCCATCCAAGCCGCTGCCCCTTTTTCCATTCCCCGGATCCATCCGTGAAATCTAGCACCTAGCCATAGCACTCAGAGTTTCATGTTCATAGTTTGGCCTCACAGTTCTCAGTTCATAGCTTCCACAGTTCATAGCATTCATAGTTTCCTGCTTTGTAAGTTCACTAGGCACTGTAAATAAAGCACTGTGTTCACGCCCGTTTTGCCTCCCTCTGTGTCTGCATTTGAGTCCACACCCACAGCCTGGCCCTCTCGGCCGTAACAGGAAGATGCTAACCATCACACAAAAATTTGGACTTCCTGACATGCAAAAGAAAGGTAAAAGTTAGCGTATTTTTTGGATTATAAGGCGCATTAAGCGAAACAAAACAGCCAGATTAGTCAAACTTTACTCAACTCATTCTTCTTGCTTCCTCTACTTCCGTACAATTGATTCATTAATGTTGAATTTTCTGGCAGCTGCTCTATTCCCATGTCCTGGACCTGAAAACAGGGTTTGATCTTTGGTTTGATCCTATAATACTGGACTTGTTTTTCTACGAAGGTTTGAACTTTGAGAGTTTAAACAAGAGAGAAAAATGTGAAAATGTTCATGCCTGTCTGAGAAAAGTGTATAAAGTGTGTAGTGAGGGGTTTTACAGCCTTAAAACATCTATATTAATTGTAAAATATAAAGTTGGCTACTTTGCGGATTTCACAGATTGCAGGTTATTCTCAGAATGTAACTCCCGCGATAAACGAGGGACCGCTGTATATCTATATCAATAAAAAAAATTCCCCTTGGGGTGCCTGAAGCCACAAAGCTGACTCAAAGCGCTCCAAGGTTACGACCTGTGAAACCCATTACAGCATGGTGTAGAACAGATGTAGTTGTGTCCTCACCTCCCAAAGGAAACCAAGTTGTCATCCAGAAACAAACCTACACACACAAATCCATTTAAAAGATAAAAATTGTCAGGATGTGTGCTGTGGCAGTCAGGATGACCCAAACACAGGACTCGTACACAGCATGGAAACTTAAAGCAGCAGCTTTATTGCTGGGAAGACTTTCTATAAAAGTAAACTCACAAAAAAACTAACCAAAGCCACAAATATGAAAACGAAAAACTAGATATAAGACAGACTAACTGGAAAACAAACCAGGAACTGAGAACCTGAACTTAGCCAGGATCACAAAGGGCAAAACTCAGCACAGTGAGGGTACAACACGATGAAGGGCAAAGGAAAACACATGGCTTAAATGCACAGGCAAGACAAGAAAGGATGGGGATCAGGTGGGAATACAGCTGGGACAAATCAGACATACAGAGACAAAGCAGAATACACTGACATAAGGCATGGACTATCAAAATAAAACAGGAAGCGTGACATCATGTAGAGGCAGAGGTGGTGACAGAGTCTGGAACAGAGGAAATACAAAAGCACCGGGAAAACATGGGGCCAGAGACTAACCACAGATAAACAGTAAGTAAACAAAACATCAACATCAGTAATCAAAGAATATCATTCCAGAGGTTGAAACACAAACAGTGGGTCGCAGACCCAGTACCATGACAAAAATCACCCACAATATCAGTAGTAATTTAATAAGTTCACTTTATTTTCTATAAAACTTCCATCCATCCAATCACTTCTGCTTATCCTTTTTTAGGGTCGCAGGGGGGGCTGGAGCCTATCTCAGCTGTCATAGGGCGAGAGGCGGGGTACACCCCGGACAGGTCGCCAGTCTGGGCTAAGACACAAGTGGCTGTCTCCCAATTCAGGGTCTGCAGCCTTAAAGTACGCAGCCTCAACGATCCTCAAGGGCCGCGTACTCAAAGACCGCTAAGGCCGGAAGTGCGAGGCTTGTGAAATGGGACGGTCTAGCCTCCGTCACGCTGCGCAGGTTGCCGGGCAACCATGATACTAACAGCTGGAAACTTTTCAGCATTATTTGAGACAATCTTTTGTTCATTTGTTTGTTTCTACATGAGCTTTGATCATTCTCTGTGAGATGAAGCTCAGCTATTGAACGGCGTATATTTTAAAGTAAAGGCTTTAAAACCAAGTTAGTACAAACGTCACTAATGTCACATGACTTTGCCGACATGTGGCCAACAGGAATGTTTTATTGTTCTTCGTTATTAAACATTCGCACATAAATAAGTGACATAATATTCAGTACTTAAAGTTTACTCTTCGGGCGCCCCTCGTCTGCCGTTTTTTTTCGGCAAAATTATCCACACCCACCGCCGCGCTATGCATTCTGGGATATCCTTCAAATTCAGGGAAATGAAGGACGCATTTCAGGGCCGCATGTCGAGCAGCCTTCGAATTGGGACAGCCTTCGGCGCGCCGCTGTGACGTAATCGGCCTTAAAATGCGGCCTTTAAGGCTGCAGACCCTGAGTTGGGATACAGCCAGAGACAGACAACCATTCTCACTCACATTCACTCCTATGGGCAATTTAGATTGATCAATTAACCTAATCCCCACTAACTGCAAGTCTTTGGACTGTGGGAGAAAACTGGAGTACCCGGTGAGAAGCCACGCAAACATGGGGAGAACATGCAAACTCCACACAAAAGACCCCGGCCTGAAGGTGGAATTGAATCAGGACCTGCTTGCTGTGTGGCAACAGTGCTCACCACCGTGCCACCGTGCTGCCCTGGTTTAAAAACATTATTTCACATCATTTATTGTAGCTCACACAACATTCAGAGACTTTATGGCCACAGATTGTATAGAGAAAATTAATATTAGGACAGCATATTAATCGTGATTTCAAAGGCTGTAGGTTGCAGCCATTGCTTTAGCAATGTGTATAAATGTAACAGGACTGGTTTTAACCATTGTAACAGTCTGAGCTTCTTCAAGCTTTATTTGAGCACATTAGCTTACTAAAAACAGAAGCTAGCTAGTACTACTGGTATGTCACATTTTCACAAGGTAAGACTGGGGCTACATGGCTACAGGGATACTAGCATTAGCTGTGTTACTACATTACTTTCAGCCAAATCATGAGGGGTTCAGGTTTTCTTTTCCCTGCATTTTCCCTTCACATCATTCATATATTTGTGTTGGACATTTTCAGAGAGTGAATACCGAGGCTAACTGTCCACAAACACTTCTTTAAAAAGTCTCCTTAACAGTGAAAAGCTGTCAGTGGCACAGAAAAACCCAGCCAGCATGCCTGTGAGCAACCAATGAGAGACCTCTTTACATGCATGCCTAATTTGCATTGCTTTTTCTCCAAGGACAAAAAAGCCATAGAAATGGAAAAGCTAATCCAATAGCTAATCTAGTAATTATTACAGCTAACGGGAAAAATGAAACTTAAAAGGTGAGTGGAATAAACATTTCAAAACTAATTGGATTTTTCAATTCATTTACTTATTTCTCTTTTTAATTTGCATTTTTTAAAGTCTCAATTTGAACATTTTTTAAAATGAGGTTTTGATTCTTTCTTTTTCTTTCTATAAATCATATTTAGTATTAACTACATTAAGTATTTGTTGTTGGATTATTTTGGAAATATTTATTCATATTTGTGTTTTTCATTTCCCTTTAACATATAAACAACGATGGATGTTATGCATGTCTAAATAAACAAAAGACATGAAAACAGTTCTAAATGAATTTACTAATGCAGGTTATTTCACGAGTCATCATTAAATCAGGCGCTCCTGATCCTCGACGCACATCAGCAATATGGACACGTTAGTTAAAACTAAAAGGAAGGAAGGCTGGAGTAAGGAAGGAAAGGAGACAAGGACGCCGCCAAATGGTAGCGGGTCGCGTCCTGCTGTATTCCTTCGACTCCGTTCATCTCTATTCACAGTAAATAGAAGCATGGAGGCTTTGACTCTCGGGAGCTAACAGCGAGCAGCGGGGGGTAAAAACGCTGCCGCATGCGCTCTCGCCTCGACTAAAACACACAGGAAGGAAGCGTGATAGTGGTGAGGCTTTGGCCAGTTGGATTGAACTCATTTTAAGTGAAAGCAAGGTGTGCTGGTGGCGACAGGAGCGGGACAGCCCGCCGTGCAGAGCATGAAGCGGACGGCTGTGGTGGCCAGGCACAATGGCCTCGTCTCTCCGTTGGGGAACAACAACTCTGGAGCTTCTAGCATCGTCTCGCCACCCCATCCGAGAGCTACCAGTATCCCCGCTTCTGCCGACACCGATGCGGGCGGTGGGATGGACGGCCTGCTGGATTTCTCCAAAGGCCCCACCGTTAAAACGGAGCTAGTGTGCAAATGGATTGACCGAACTTCTTCAAGACAGAGGCTTGGGCGGACGGCGACATCCGTCTGCGATCAAACTTTCAGCTCCATGCACGAGCTCGTGGACCACGTCACCACCGAGCATGTAGCTGCGGGGCTGGAAAGCCTCAGTCACGTCTGTATGTGGGACGAGTGTATGCGCGGCGGGAAGGCGTTCAAAGCCAAATACAAACTCATTAACCACATTCGCGTGCACACCGGGGAGAAGCCGTTTTCATGCGCATTTCCCAATTGCGGCAAGATGTTCGCACGCTCGGAAAACCTCAAGATCCACACGCGCACGCACACTGGTAAGGGTTCGTGATTGTGTGACTGCTACGAGAGCGCAGATACTGTCATTGCGCTCGCTCAGTCCGTGCCATCCGTCAACACAAGCTTCCTGTCAGGGACCGAGAACACAGCATAATACACAGCGCTCTCCCCTGCTAGGAATCCCCTCCATGTTTACTTGGGCTTAGTTCGGTGTAGATTCACATTAGACTTGAGTGCTCCCTTGTTTCCTAGGTGACAGGCATCAGCACAGGTCAGCACTGAGCTTTAGTTTAGTCCTCAGGACGTGTATGAGCGGTAAACCCGTCCTTGGGCAATGACTATACATCAGTTATTAATCATCAATAACAACAGCGCTTGCTGCGTTTAGGATCTTGAAATCAATAAGCCAGTAAAAGTATAAAAGTCACCAGCTAAACTAGAAACAACCACACAATGCAGAAAACGAGTGCGATGCTGTACCGACATCACGGGCAGGGTAGCGCAGGGCGCTGATTGAAACTGGCTGCATGTGTGACAGATGCTCTGAAACTGCATCCAATAAAAACTGGTACTTACTGGGTGCACCCCCCCCCCCCCCAACAAGCTCTCACACACCTTCATTCATTCATTCTATAGACAAGTGCCACGTCTAACATTCATGCATGCACTCACAATCTAATGGATCAACTTACTCCAGGATGCTTGGACATGCAGGCTGAAGGGGCTGGGGCTCAAGCCACCAGCTCTCTGATTGGTAGAAAAGCTGCTTCTGATGTGAGTCACAGAGGCTCCAGCTAAGTGGTCTGCAGCCGTATAAGTAGCTGAGTGGTCCCACATACATGCAGGTCCATTTTCTGACCATGTCTCTTAAAGATGCTTTATTACCACAACACTGAGTTTATGTTACTGATATAGACTTTTTCTAGGAAGGCCTGTGATGGCATGATGTCACGGTAGAGGCTCTGTACATAGACTGTACATAAAAGATGGACACAGATTCCAGTGAAGCCCGTGTTGGTGTAGCTATAGTGGTGAGGCGAAAAAAGATCAGCACATAGCTTCAAAAACAGGTCTGCCACTGCATTCATCTTTAATACAGTCGATGCTTTTATGTGTGCTTCCAGTTTCCCCAAGACATCACTCCCATTCCCGTTAAAGACAGCATGAAAGCATTAGTACAACTGTGTTTTCAAAAGGAATACAAAACATGCAAATGTTAAAATTTAGCATGTCGTTATCTCTTCTGCTGATAATCATTCATCGTTTTACATTAAGCTAAATCATCCAGTCTTATGTGAAAACAGGGTTTTTTATTAGCTGGTGCTTCCTCGCTGACCCCACTGTGTTTTCTCTTTATCCCAGAAGAAGGTAAAAACCCTGGTGTGTGTCTGTCCTCCCATATGGAAAAGATAAATATAAATCTTATAAAGGTTGTATCTGCCTTGTGTGAAACGTGTATGAAAAGCATACAAGAGTGAAAACAGATATGAGATCCCTTGAAAATTATAGAAATGAAACTTGTATGTTTTGGACACTTCCTAAAACAATATATGAAAGTAATGAGAAAGTGGCCACTTTCATGAGTAAATCATATAAGCTTTATAAGTATATTGTCTTTTTCTTTTCCATATGGGCTCTCACAAGCTGCAGCGTGTCTGCATGGAAGCAGTGAGAGCCTGACCTACACAGCTCTTCTGTCCATTTGGTGCTGCATTAATCAATGTGGTTCCTGACTGTTGATCTAAAACTGCAGCAGATTTTTTGGTTTAAATTTCCTTCTATTTATTACATTTACTGGAGATATTACATTTAAAAACAAAGGGAAGGAATCATGCAGCATCCATAACTTCCCTCCACCATGCTTGACAGAGGATATCAAGCACCATTTGTTCTGCACTCACAGATTTGCTTCTTTTGTAACCAATCGCCTTCTTGTTGGTGATGACTTTCTTCTTCAAAGCTTTCAGTCACCATTCAAGAGCTGCTGTTTTGCTAATTTCTCAATGGATCAACCTTCATTTCTTAAAAAGCAACATCACTCTGCTGAGGTTTGGAAGCTGTTCCCTGACTGGGATGTATGCCTAAAAGCTAAAGGATCACTTCTTCAGCAGCATCATATTTGTTAAACCTGCTTTAACTGTGTGCTCAGTGATGGTTGCTGAACATCGGTCACTGCGTTCCAACTTTGATATGAGTTTTGATTATTTAACCTCCTAAGACCCGAGCTCTTCCACGGCAGCATTTTTAATTTCTCTTTGATATTTGGGCTGATTGGGACCTGATGAATGTAAAAACAAAGAATTACCAGATTTTTTTTTAACCTTATTTTTGTTTTTAAGAAAAATGAGAGCCACACATGAGGATATTCGTTTAACATTTTGATAGAACAGTAGCAGCATAATGTCCTCGTAAGTGGATATCAGGCCCTTGTAGAGCAAAATTGAGTATTTTGGTCTAAATAACCCAAAATGTGGTCCTAGGAGGTTAAAATACGATTCCATTAAATATTTACTGTTCTTTAGAAACAAGTGTCCTTTTTTGGAATAACAATGCTATTTCTCAGCATCACTCCTTTGAACGTGTCCAGTTGAATGTTGGTTTTTCAGGTCCATTCCCTTTGCAAGGCTGATAATTGTGCGTGTGATGTTTGTTTTTCAGGTGAGAAGCCATTCCAGTGTGAGTTTTGCGAGCGGCGCTTTGCCAACAGCAGCGACCGAAAGAAGCACTCGCAGGTCCACACAGCCTCAAAGCCCTACGACTGCAAGGCAGTAGGATGCACCAAGTCTTACACCCACCCCAGCTCCCTGCGCAAACACATGAAGGTTCACATCAAGTCATCACCTACCTCTGAAACCCAGGACCTGTACAATGCCATCCCTCTTCAACTCCAACAACCTCATCCGGCTGTCCTCGAGCCCCTTGACCTTAAAATGAACCACCTCTCTCCATCACTTACTGACAGAAACACTCATTTTTCTCTGCTGTCCAATCACGAATTGGACCTCCGTTCAGCCAGCGAAGTGGACCATAAGCTGCTGCTACGGAGTTCGTCTCCGGTAGCGATGCCTCTGGATCTCTCTCTTTCAGGCCTGAAGAGCCAGCTGAGCCAGCAGCAGCAGAGCGGCAGGACCCCACGGCGGAGCCAGCGCTCAGTCAACCCAGCCTTACCTCAGTTGTCTAACATTAAGGAGTGGTATGTCTGTACCAGGACTACAGCACCACACTTTCCTCTCCTTCACCCAGACCACATCAAATCAGAACCTAGTGATGACGAGGAGTACGTCACGTAAAGTTGAGGGACTGGTGAAATTTGACTCGCAGAACAGATCTCATATCGTCAGATCCAGGTCGGGCCAGAACAAGCAGCTGCATGGTTCCACATCGGTGGCCCTCGGAGAAGGTCAAAGGGACTGTGTCACATTAAAAATGTGTGGATCAACAGAAACGGCTCAAATGGTGTCCGAAAGGACGGGAGGAACTCCTGATTATGAAACAAAATGTTTTACTGCAAGTTATCAGTCATGGCTAGCTAACCTGAACTAAGATAAGGAGTTAACTTTGTGCAAGTGGATCAGCGAATATTAAAGAGATTTGTGTACATGACGACCTCTAGAGACACGGATCAATGACCAATTCAAGGGCTCCACTTAGGTGAAGCAATTTTAGGGGCCAAGTTGATGGAAAGAGGTTAATGTTTCCTTGATGTCACAGCACCAATGTACACAAGGTAACACGGCAGGACCAAACCAGCAGGTACACAGGGGAGTACTTTATAGTCTCTGTATGCTTCGAGCAGACTGGTTTGTACAACTTTAAAAGGTTGATCTGGAACAGCTGATTCTGCTGTCAGGCCGCCACCTCTGTGGAAGCATACAGAGGTCTTTAGTAACAAACAGAAGTCTGGAAGTATTTGTGAGTTTAATCCAACGTAGCAGAAGTCAGTGAAACTATACTCACGTCCTTGTTTGTACTGAATCTCCCACTGAATCTCGGTTGGATTATGAGTGAGTTAATCTCTTGTGTTTGTTTACACTTCATTTCCAGCACCTCAAGCTTTCAAAAATCTCATGTCCTACACACAATGTGCATCAATAAATCAAGAAAAGAAGTAGAAGTGTGCATGATTTTTGAAACTGCTTAAAAAAGTAACTGTTTTAAAGTGCACTCTTCATATGTGGCTCAGATTCATGATCCACCCACCAGAAAAGTTCAGAGACCTGCAGCAGGTGGAACTGTCCACCAACCATAACCACAGTGGTTCCTCCTAAAAGGTTGTAATTTAATTTTGCCATGAACACATTGCAAAAGTCTATCTAAACATGATAATTCACCAAGTATTCACACTTACCATGTCAAAGCTTACCCCAGGCAGACTGTATCAGGGGTTTCCTGCATTGGAAGTCTCCATGTTCTTGTGTCTTGATACTCTGACAGAGAGAGTAAGGTAGGTGGCTCCCCTGTACAGACTGACTCAGTGATGTGAAAGGTAGACCTGAAAGTGCGATCCAGCCTGTGGCAGTAAGATTATGTGGAGGGTGCACTCATCCACTGCCAGGATGTTTCACAGCAGCGCAGCATGCTTTTGGGCTAATCTGGGTGAAAAGAAGCTAAAATGAAAGCTGTCTATATTTTGACCAGCAGCTGGTTCAGAATTTAAAATTTGATACATTCTTGTAACATTAGCTACAGGCAACACCAATCAAATACATCGTCATGCCCTTGGGTAAGTTACTAAAGCACGTTGCCAGATAAATGCTTTCTGACACTGCTCGAGTGAACTCAATGCTATTTCATTAGGCATACCTGCTGAATTGCTTGTTAATGCAAAGATCAAATTAGCCATTCACACAGCAGAACAATGCTTTTACACATGTAGTCAAGATAACAGTGAACTTCGAAGTGAGCATCAGAATTGGGACGAGGTGTTGCTGTTACCAGGTGGACTGCTCTGGGACTGTCACAGACAAACCTCTGTAGTGTTAACAGAGAATGACCTCAGAAAGAGAAAGCGTCCGCTGAGTGACTCTGCTAGAAAATAATGGTCAGACTGCTTAGAGTTGGAAGGTAAGTCCATTAACCAGACTGGAAAAACGTTGTCTGGTCTGATGAGCCGTGGCTTCTGCTGCAACGTTCAGATGGCAGTTTGATGTAATGTCACAGCGTGAATTAACCCTGCCTTGTATCTGCAGCTCTGGATGTGGGTGGTGGTGGCGGTGTATTGGTGTCTTGACACCCTTAATGCTATTCTTTAAAGACCAGAGCCAGACTGTGAGTTTGAGTCCAACACTGCATGTCACAAAGCTCACATAATCTCAAATTGGTTTCTAGAACGTGGCGAGGAGTTCTCTGTACTCTGATGGCCTCCAGAGTCTCCAGAGCTCAGACCAACAAAGCACCGTTGGGATGTGGTTGAAACGGGGGATGAATTCAGCCAAGAAATCTGCAGCAACTGTGTGGGTCCCTTTAACTTCAAAGGCTAAAGGATGTAATTAAAGAAGTGTCTGGGTGTGAGTGTGTCTGCAACCGACATGTGATGTGTTAATATCAGCTAGGATAGCACCCTGAGGCCCTCAGAAACCTAATGGCAAACAAAGGGACAGCATTTTCAGTAAGCGTGTTTAGTCGTGTTTATATACCAATGAAAATTTTGTTCCAAGCATTTTAAGTTACTTTTGGGTTGGGGTGTGCTATCTTCACAGCTCTGGTGAGTGGTGCTCTTGGACTCTTGTGCAAAGCAAACATTTCTGCACCTAGATTAAACCCAGGAGGCTCTCCAGCCAAGAAAGAATTCAGCATGTGTAAGTTATTAGGCTCATCCGAGGGCTGACTGCAGCTCTGGAAGGTTTGAATCACGACTCCTGCACTGGGCATGTGCAGTGCTGTGCCCCCTTCCTCATTTCTTAGTTGTTGTTTTTTTGCATATCTACAAACACATTGCTCACATGCTTCCAGTCATCAACTAAACTTTAATGTTGGACAAAGATAACCTGAGTAAATACAAAAAGGAGTTTTTAAATTTGATTTCTTAAGAGAAAAGAGTTATCCAAATCTACCTGAAACATTTTTGGTCACTTTAAATATCTATCTTATATTTGCTGCAATTGCTGCTGCCCCGTTGGCCTGGCCGCTCTTAATGTTTAATGTCAATCAGAGTTCATAATCAAAGAACATATTAAAGTGTCTTTGCTATAAACTGATTGGCACTTCTACCTTATGGCACAAATGTTCTTTCTGGCTTGGCATGATTCAGTATTTACTATTTAAGTACCGGAAATCACTTTTTGGCATCACACTGGCCTCCTGCGGCTGTGCGCTCTGCACGCTACGTCATGACGTTGTGGATGATCGGCAACATGGCGGCGCACAGTGTTCCTTCGACGTTAAAGAGGCTTCTGTTCGCTGTAAAGGTGAGCTGACCGCCAGGGTCTGTGCTTTCACTCAGAGGACCTCCACAAACAGCTAACGCACAGTCCGCAGAGTCTGTGACGGAACAGCCGCTGGAAACAAACTTGGAGTTTCCATTACGAGGGGCTGTACCACACTGTTAGAGGTTTCAAAGTATTTTGCGCTGAAACTTGACATGTTGGCGCTGCTGTGTCGCGTATCTTGTGCAGCAGAGTAGACACTGAGTCTTGCGGGTATGGGCTCAAATGTGGTCATAAATATTTTGCACTTGTAAATCAGTTTTGTATGTGTAAACAGAGTGTGTGTGTGTGTGTGTGTGTGTGTGTGTGTGTGTGCGCGCGCGCGCGTAAGTAAAAAGATTTGTGCATGGACTTAGCCAAAAAAAAAACTGCAAGTGACAAGTACGAATTTTGACCCTATTTCTCTTGCTTTCATCTGATTGGTCAATGTCATGTCAATCACAAATGTAACAATCCAATCAGAGAACAGATGGTTGAACTGCAGGTCCTTGAAGGGTGATACAGTTTGGAGGATCGCTATATAAATATCTGATAGCAGCTAGGTCCCCTAACTTTCAGCAGCTGTTGAAAGGAAAAAGTTGTGCTATATCAGTGGTTAGAAACACCATTAATACTTTAGGATTAGTTTAACACAAAGTCAGGGCTGACCCAGGACCATTGCTGTGAGTCACAGTGCGCAGCATAAAGGTCCTTTCACATCGGACGCAGGATGTGCTGCTAATGCTAACTGCTAACTAAAAGCAAAGGATCCAGAATTTGTTGCTGGCTGCTGAGCTCTGTGGGTTTTTGCAGCAGCTCTACCTGTACTAGATGCACCTGCTCCTTGTCTTTTCTATCTCTGACTTTATGTCCTCTACAAGAGTTTGGTTTTTTTGCTGGTTCTTCAAAAGAATAGGGTCAGAACTCGTACTTGTAACTTGCAGGTTTTTTGGCTAAGTCCACATACAAATCTTTTTTACGCACACACAAATTCTTTTAACACATACAAAACTGATTTACAAGTACAAAATATTTATGACCACATTTTGAGCCCATACTGCGGGTGATGCGTGGCCTGTTGTTTCATGCCACAGACATTCCCGGGACTGTGCTGCCCTCTCCCTCCTCTGTCTGCACTGAGTCGGCTGCTGTGACCCTGCACATCAAACATCCCGTGTTTGTGCAACTGGGACACCGGCACCTCAAACACAGGCAGACGGAAACCAGGTGACAAGCTGCGAACAAATAGTTAAAAGCTCAGGCCATGTCCTGCATTTGGAGTGGCTGTAGCTCAGGAGGTGCCGCAGGTCATCTACTGATTGAAGGTCTGTGGAAGCTCCCCGCTTCATCCCACTGCTCTCCATGCACAGCGCGCGCTCCCGATGCAGGGGGTAGCTACCTTATCGCGACACCTGTCAGCCTTCAGCGAGCTGTGCAACTCAAACACGGAGTCACACCAAGTTGACAGTTCATCTGCATGTTTTGATCCAGATGTTGTGCTGTGTCAGACACTTTGTAGCTGAAAGTTGATCAGGTGCTTTGATGCAGACCTCCCGTGACTTTTTCCCTGTAAAGGTTTTAATGTTGATTCCAGGAACAGCGCTGCTGTTTCTTCCACGCTCAGCATGTCACGGTGTGTGGACAGACTCGGGCTCCACGTTAAACTGTGCCCACGTCATCATCACTGCTGCTGTTGTTCTGCAGTGTGATGTTAAAGCTGGGGGCTCTCGTTCATTCACTGCTCCTGCATACGTTTCTGTTGCAGCTTTGTTTCAGTTGAAAATGTCGGAGAAACGCTGGTGTTTAAACGCATCTGCTACAGAGCTGCGCGTTAGACGACAATCGATGCGAAGAATGCGTGTCGAGAATTTTTCATAATCGATTCGTTGGAATTACTCGATGAATCATCGCAGTCCCAGCGGGGAGCGATGCAACGGGAACACGGACCAACGCTTCAGAGAAACGACACATAAAGCAGGAAAAGCGCAGCCAGTGACACTTTTCACTGTTTCCAGCACTCCGCGCTCTCCTCCCAAAGCTGCTTGGTTACACACTGACTGCAGGCAGGCAGACAGTCCAGCAGGTGGCGATCGAGCTCAAGCATAAACCCCGTTATTGTCAAAGCTGGCGAGCATAAGTAGGTGCAGTTAGTCTCTTCCTGCTCACCTGTGTAGAACTTCAGCCACAAGCACACTGCTCTACCGGCTCAAAACTGTCAATAAAAATGAAGAAGAATGCTTTGAAGTCTTCAAGCAAAACTTCAAAGGAAAATATCCGACTTTACTTAAACTTCAATGAGAGGCTCTTTGTAGCATATTTGGATATTTACTTGTTTCTAAGAATCAGTAATGAGGCCAGTGTGTGTGTGTGTGTGTGTGTGTGTGTGTGTGTGTGTGCGCGCGCGCGTGCACTAACAGTAAAGTTGTGCTGTGTGCTCTGCAGTGTTCCCCTCTCCAGTCCAGATGCTGTGTTGTGCAGAGAGAGGCTCAGTATTCCACCATATCTAGTCCCAATGAAAAGGTAATGCATGGCTCTCGTCTGCTTATTTCATTTTTGTATTCATATTTTCAACAATGCTGATTAAGAAAATCTATATATTTTACTTTCAGTACAAAGTCTTTGTAGTAATGCAACGTTGCTGTTTGTCTTCTTCCTCCGCAGACCTTTGATAAGATCCTCATTGCAAACAGAGGAGAGATTGCTTGCAGGGTAACTCTCATTGACTCACACAATATGTACAGTTAACAGCTGGTTGTTTTGGGGGGACTAAGAGGAAATTCCACTTTGACTTTACGGATAAATGCCACTGATATGTATCGACTTTCACATCAAGTTGGTGCCAGAATTCTTTAAATGTGACAGTACTTGTGCTCGTATGGGACCACAGGTAGCAAAGTGATCCTTGACAATAACAGGTCCGTACCCCTGACCTATCCAAATGCCAAAAACAGCATTCACACAGCTGTAAATAGAGTTTTCGTGTGTGATTAATGTTAAGTCATGGTCACGATGAATGTGTTTCATGCGTGGACGTGTCAAGCTGTTCATCTTAAAATGAAGCAGAGAGCAGCTGCAGCTCACAGCCCATCTCATTGCTGCAGCAGGAAACTCTGCAGGGCTCAGCTGTGAAAGGTGCTCTGCCTACGTTCTTCATCTCATGCTAACTTCTGCATCAGTGGGTCCACCTTTCAGCCACCAGCTGCCTGATATTATGTAGCAGCACGGGGGCTGTGGTGGTGGGGTAAACGTCCGGGATCCATGATTTCCAATACAGATAATGACATCCTCTATATATTATTCATATCTCAGTGCTTTTAATGCTGCAGCTGATTGGTGCAGTTGGCTGTGCCTGCTGATATGTTCTACTGTGAGGTATTTTCCTTGTTTTCAATCAGGTGATCAAGACGTGCAAGAAGATGGGCATCCAGACTGTGGCTGTTCACAGTGATGTAGACTCCAGCGCTGTGAGTCACGACCTGTGCATTTCCAGGGAGCAGGGGAACTCTGATGTTAGACATAACCTCGTGTTGAATAACTGCATGCTGGTTTTATTTCACACCTACCTGAGGACTTGTCTTTGTGTTCAAGGGTTTCATTTGAATTTTCAAACTCAGTGTGATCTGAATGTGATTCAGTAGGTTAAACGTAAATTCAAGCTCAGGTTAACTTAAATACTTTATCCTGAGAGTTAACAGTTAATGCACGTTGATGCAAAGAGGAATGGTTTTATATTACATAGTTTATAGTTAACACTTCAGTGTTGGATCAGACACCTGGGCAGTGATAAATCAGCTGATGCTTCTGCACTGACTGTGTTACAGTCAGGTATAATAACTAATGTTATTCATACCTGACTGATGATTAAAAAACCTTGTTTGTGTGCTGACATTACCATGTACACTACCGCTAGAGCTGCCACGATTAGTCAGCTAGTCACGATTAGTCGACTATCAAAATCGTCGACGACTAATTTAATAGTCGACGCGTTGTTTGAAGCTTTGTAAGATCACAAAAGACGCAGGAATGAGTAGCAGGATTTAAGAGTGTAATAACGGACTGAAACAGAAGATGGCAGCACTGCATGTACAAGGATGCCAGCTGCCGTTAAACCCGAAGAAGAAGAAGCTGTGTCCCAGAATTCATAGCGCAGCCCAGCTCAGTTGTCAACAATGGCGGCAGCTAGTTAGTTTTAACTTTACTCTTATTATTCTTTCTGGGTCACAAAATAAACGTTTGACATATTTTCAGGCGAGAATGTAGCTGTGTAAACCTCAAATATCTGCTCAGTTTATCAAGACACCGCATATTTTCAAAAGCGCTCCGACGTTTTCGGAGACGTCTGTTACCCACTAGCTCGATAGCGAGCCGGGGGCAAGGCTCACTAGTAGTGATGGGATTTCCGGCTCTTTTTAGAGACCCGGCTCTTTCGGCTCGGCTCACTAAAAAGAGCCGGCTCTTTCGGCTCCGAACCGGCTCTTCAGGTTGTTTTGTTGCTTTAATTAATTTATCATTAACAATAATATAAAATTATGCAGAAAAGGAATTACTAATGTAAAAAAAGTGGTTTTATTTATATATGTTTATATATGGCCCCTAGAGACAAAGCACGTACAAACTCCAAAACACATTTCTAGAGTTAACTGAACTTCCAAAACAGAGCTACTCGGATCACTTAAATTACACAATTGAAAGCATGTGTGTATTGTTTGTGTATTTATAGACAAGCACTCATATTTATTCAAATAATTTTTAAAAAGTTCATTTACCTGTTACTACCATCCATCTTCATCCGCTTTATCCGGGGCCGGGTCGTGGGGGCAGCAGCCTAAGCAAAGAGGCCCAGACCTCCCTCTCCCCAGCCACCTCCTCCAGCTTATCCGGGGGAATACCAAGGCGTTCCCAGGCCAGCCGAGAGATATAATCTCTCCAGCGTGTCCTGGGTCTGCCCCGGGGCCTCCTCCCGGTGGGACATGCCTGGAACACCTCACCCAGGAGGCGCCCAGGGGGCATCCTTGTCAGATGCCCGAACCACCTCAGCTGGCTCCTTTCGATGTGGAGCAGCAGCTGCTCTACTCTGAGCCCCTCCCGGATGGCCGAACTTCTCACCCTATCTCTAAGGGAGAGGCCAGCCACCCTTCGGAGGAAGCTCATTTCTGCCGCTTGTATCCGCGATCTCGTTCTTTCGGTCACTACCCACAGCTCGTGGCCATAGGTGAGGGTAGGGACGTAGATCGACCGGTAAATTGAGAGCTTCGCTTTTACACTCAGCTCCTTCTTCACCACGACGGACCGGTGCAGCGTCCGCATTACTGCAGCTGCAGCCCCAATCCGTCTGTCGATCTCCGGCTCCCTTCTCCCATCACTCGCGAACAAGACCCCGAGATACTTGAACTCCTCCACTTGGGGCAGGAACTCATCCCCGACCCTGAGTGGGCACTCCACCCTTTTCCGGCTGAGAACCATGGCCTCAGATTTGGAGGTGCTGATCCTCATTCCCGCTGCTTCACACTCTGCTGCGAACCGTTCCAGTGCGAGCTGGAGGCCCTCACCCGATGAAGCCAACAGAACCAAATCATCCGCAAAAATCAGAGATGAGATTCTGAGGCCACCAAAGCGAAAGCCCTCCACCACTTGGCTGCACCTAGAAATCCTGTCCATAAAAATTAGACTGGTTGGGCAAACTCCCATGCACCCTCAAGTATCCTCGAGAGGATAAAGAGCTGGTCCAGTGTTCCGCGACCAGGACGAAAACCGCATTGTTCCTCCTGTATCCGAGGTTCGACTAACGGACGAACTCTCCTTTCCAGCACCCTGGCATAGACTTTCCCAGGGAGGCTGAGGAGTGTGATCCCCCTGTAGTTGGAACACACCCTCCGGTCCCCCTTCTTAAAGATGGGGACCACCACCCCGGTCTGCCAGTCCACAGGTACTGCCCCTGACCTCCACGCAACATTGCAGAGGCGTGTCAACCAGGACAGCCCTACAACGTCCAGAGCCTTCAGGAACTCGGGGCGGACCTCATCAACACCAGGGGCTCTGCCACCAAGGAGTTGTTTAACTGCCTCAGTGACCTCGCCCCCGGAAATTGGCGGGTCATTCCCCTCATCCCCAGACTCTGCTTCCTCCTCGGAAGACGTGTCAGTGGGATTAAGGAGGTCCTCGAAGTATTCCTTCCACCGCCCGACAATTTTCTCAGTCGACATCAGCAGCGCTCCGCCAGCACTATACACAGTGCAGGTAGAGCACCGCTTTCCCCTCCTGAGACGTCTGACGGTTTGCCAGAATCTCTTCGAGGCAGTCCGAAAGTCTTTTTCCATGGCCTCTCCGAACTCCTCCCACACCCGAGTTTTTGCTTCAGCCACTGCCCGAGCCGCATTACGCTTGACCTGTCGATACCTGTCGGCTGCCTCCAGAGTCCCACAGGCTAACCAAGCCCGATAGGACTCCTTCTTCAGCCTGGTGGCTCCCTTCACCTCTGGTGTCCACCATTTGGCTGGAGGTGTGCGTTGAAGATCTTACTACCACACACCAAATCCGGTTGTTGATACTTCCTGGCTTGTGTAGCCACTAGGTAACAAAAGCTCAACACTGCGACCTAGCATCCTGGAGCACTTCTGTTGTCTTTTGTACGTGCTTCTGAGTTTTTACGTGTTTTGGGGTTTGTACGTGCTTTGTCTCTAAGGGCCACCATAAATATACTTTATTTATTCACTCCAAATAAAATGTAATAAATAAATCATATAATACAAAAAAAACTATTTACATTTTAAACTTTTAACTATTTAAATTTTCAGCTTTTTCCTTTTAAACAAATTTAACGTGAAACAACACAAAACACTGCAAACCACAACACAATTAAATATAAATTAAAATATTAAAACCAAAAAGAAGATGCACATTCTCTGTCATATGGGCCTGCATGATTTCTGAATCCTTTATCATCCGCAACTGAAAATAGTGGATGATTACTATACCTTTCTAATGTGACGTTGTTGTCCCTTGCTCTTTTTCTCTCTGGCTCTGTTCCTGTGCTACTGCGAGTGTAACTAACGCCCCTCCCCCCCTCTGCCCAGCGCAAAGTACAGGCCGCGTGTGTGGAGTTTAGCGGAAAAAAGGGCGAGAGAGAGGGTGAGAGAGGGTGAAAAAACAAAAACAAACCTCACGGCTCCCAATAAGGAGCTGGCTCGCCTCATTCACTTCAAAGAGTCTGCTCTAAGAGCCATTTCGTTCGCGAACGACCCATCACTACTCACTAGAGCCATGAGAACACCAGACTCCCGGCAAATCGTTTTCAAACCCACCGCCCTCTTTCACTACTCAGGTTAAACATGATATATAAGTCACTTAGATAACTTAAAAATGTTATTGTTTGGCTTTTTTCAGTATTTTATTTGTTCCTGAGTAAATCGGTTTGGCTGAGATTAAAGTTATAGTTTTTACACAGCTGAATAAACGTCAAGCAGACAGCTGATTATCAGAAGTGTGAGATGCTGGAGAATATACTCCGGTGTCCTGTTATATTTTAGATAGCAAGGAGTTTATTAAACTCACCGAAACAATCTGCAGATTTCATTAAAATTTAATAAACCATCAACTTGTCTTTACTTTTAGTTAGCACCTTAAACACTTAACGCTGTAAGCTAATGATAGTTATATAAGAGCAGATGCTGCTGGTGCAATAAGCTGTACCTGTACGTCCAGTGGATGATGATCTGATTAGTCGACTAATCGCAAAAATAATCGGTGACTAGTCCACTATCAAAATAATCGTTTGTGGCAGCCCTAACTACTGCCTTAAAGGTTTATCACCTTTTTAGTGTAAACTTTGAATGGTAATCAACATTTGGCTCAAAAAGATCCTTTGTGAGCAGCAGGAGAGCTTTAAACGATGTTTGTTGGTGCTTTGTTTGTGGGACGTTGGTAGAGCATGTTCTCTTGCAATGCCATGGAACAACACCGTGTGCACATTATACAAAAAGTGCACTTAAACTCAAACAAAAACAGAGTGGCACTTCAGGAAGCGTGAGCTCAGATCTTTTCAGATCACCCTTAAAAACAGTGCAAAAAGTCACAGAGGCCTCCGCTGCTTCAAACAAATGATTCTCTGTAACTCTTTTACAAGTATGGTGTGAAAGCGAGCCCAACATGTGTGCCTAGGTTCTATATGACCTTTGCATTCATTTTTCACTTTTTTGTTTTACCGTTTTAGTGACTTTAAAGCACATCATCTGGAATAAAATCTTTAATCAAAGAATGGGTATATGAGTAGATTACTGTGCAGTGAAAACTGTTGTTGACGTTTTAGCCGCACAGTGAGCCTCGGTTTACCTCCTGCTGTGGATGTTAATGTTCTGCTCTGTATGGATCTAGGTTCATGTAAAGATGGCTGATGAGGCGGTCTGTGTTGGCTCCGCCCCCACCAGTAAAAGCTACTTGAACATGGATGCCATTATGGATGCCATCAGAGTGACTGGAGCACAAGCTGTAAGTGAATGACATGACTTGCATATTCATTTTGTGTATTTAGCCCAAGTCGATGACCCGAGAACCTGATGCCACAGGTGCATCTACTGACAATCTTATAGGAGTTTGATTCTCAGTGACTGCATCCTTAAGGTTAGAGGTCAGAGGTCAGGTTTTCTGAAAATCTTGTGAATGGAATACCTTAAGAACAAGGTGATGTAAAATTTTGAAATTCATACGACAGGTGCATCTACTAGGAGGCAGAGGGGGGTAACTCTGGGTCCGAATCGACTTCTGTCTTCATGTTAAGATGAAGATGATGCTTTTCTGTATTCCAAAGAGTCATTTTGTTTTTCAGTTGAAGCTCAGATTTCCTGCAGTGTCCTCCGTCATGTTACAGTGGGGCTGCAGAGAGGCTTTTATGTTGATGATGTAGTTGCTTACACACATGTATGAGTGTAATTTGTTTTAAGTTGTTGCCTCCAAAATAAAAGGGACAGGCTTGTAATGTATGTTTTATAAAACAATGCAAAGTACAGTGGGTGAGTTTATCAAAGTGCTTTTTATCTAACATTCACACTCTGTTGAACACATCAGAGAGAAACTAAGGTTCAGTGTCTTGCTCTGAACCACCTTCTGATTATTAGATGAGCTGCTATGCCTCCTGAGCTACAGCCACCTGTTCAGTGGCTGAAAGGGGACAAAGTGCATGATGTATACCTATTTACATTGGAGTCCTACAGCCAGGAGTGTCCAGGCCGTTAACATGCATTCAGACTTGTATTGACAGTTCTGCTAGAGTCTCCTTCTAGGTCAGATGCAGTAATACTGTTGTGACTCTTTTTGATGTCAACAGCTTTTAATTCATAAGTACAATTAAGCAATTGTTTTTTGCATGAAAGGAGTTTTCTTCCAAACCCCCTTTAAAGTATATTTGGGTTTGAAAGTGTGACTTTTTTCTCCTCTCTAAGGTTCATCCTGGTTATGGGTTTCTGTCTGAAAATAAAGAGTTTGCAAAACGACTGGTGAGTTATGCAGTGAATTACTTCTCTCTCAGCACAAAGTCTGTTAGGAGTCTCATGGTACTTTGTCTTGTTGCCAGGCAGCAGAAGGTGTGGCATTCATTGGCCCAGACACCCATGCTATCCAGGCGATGGGGGATAAAATTGAAAGCAAGCTAATTGCAAAGGCTGCCAAAGTCAACACTATCCCAGGATTCGATGGCGTTGTCAAGGTAGGGCCATCAAAACGGCAATGCATGGAAACGCGAAGGCGTTTGCTAGATCAAGTCTGAGGGCTGTTCATCGGCTGTGTCATGGTTTTTGTTTTTCACTAATATTTTTTTTCCAATTAATAGGTTAAAGCTAAACATGTGAGTGAAGTTGGCCCCCACCTTCTTCAAATCCAACAAAGTGGTATCAAAAGTTTGTGCTACGTTTGTGCTGCAAAAAGTTTCGTTTGTGCTAATATCATTTTAAAGATATTAATAAAAATTTCTAGAGGTCATCAGAGGTCAACCAGCCCCCCCACATTACCCAAATCAAACAAAATTGATGTCAAACGTTTGTGCTGGTTTGTGCTGCAAAAATATTTGTGCTGCTAACATTTTAAAATGTTTAATAAAATAACGTCTTGATGCGTGCTTAATCATCCAGGTAAGTCAATCCCAAAAGGTTGATTCTGTTCATCTGGACATTTTCAGTTGGAGAAACGTTTCGTCATCATCCAGGTGACTTCTTCAGTCTCAGCTGACTGCAGGTTTCCAACCTTATAAACACATGTGAGTGAAGTTGGCCCCCTACCTTCTTCAAATCGAACAAAATTGATGTCAAACATTTGTCCTGCAAATGCAGGTTATGTTTCCCTAATTTTATAAACAGTACATGTACAGTGAGAGATGTTACATCCCAGTCACGGAAGCGTTGGAGGTCGTTCATAAGAGATCACAGGATCAAATCGTAAATGGCCTGTATCTGTATAGCGCTTTACACATCCAGTCATCCACACACTGGTGATGGCAGCTACATTGTAGCCACAGTCACCCTGGGGCGCACTGACAGAGGCGAGGCTGCCGGACACTGGCGCCACCGGGCCCTCTGACCACCACCAGTAGGCAACGGATGAAGCGTCTTGCCCAAGGACACAACGACCGAGACTGTCCAAGCCGGGGCTCGAACCGGCAACCTTCCAATTACAAGGCGAACTCCCAACTCTTGAGCCACGATCGCCCCAGACAGTGTGTGGAGATCCCTTGCCAAAATCAGTACCGCCGTTCCCACATGCCTCAAAGCCTCCAACATCATTACTGTACCCAAGAAGTCATCTACCTCCTGCTTTAAGGACCAGCGTCCTGTCAAACTCACCTCCATCATTATGAAGTGCTTTGAACGGTTAGTCATGCATCAAATCAAATTATCGCTTTCGTGAAAACGCTCAAGTGATGATGGAATCAACTGCCCCTCACTCAGCCCTCACACATCTGAACACTAGAGACTCATATGTCAGAGTGCTGTTCATAGACTTCAGTTCAGCCTTCAGCATCATCATTCCCCAGCAACTCATTCACAATCTGGATCTGCTGTGATCAGCACCTTGCTGTATAACGGGCTGCTAGATTTCTTGACAGGAAGACAGCAGACAGTACGGGTCGACAGCAACACCTCCAGCCCAAGAGCACAGAATACGGGGGCTCCCCAAGGATGTGTGTTGAGCTCCCTTCTCTTCACTCTGCTGACCCACGACGAGATCTACTACAGGGGTGAAGTTAACCATCTGCCAGAGTGGTACAGCAACAACAACCTGTCCCTGAATGTGGAGAAGACCAACAGCGACTCTACTTCCTCTGCAAACTGAGAAGCACAAGAGATTCAACCCCCATTATGAGCACCTTCTACAGAGGCACAGTTGAGAGTATCCTCACCAGCTGCATCACTGTGTGGTATGACTCCTGCACTGGGTTCTGCAGGACAAAATGACAACGGGTAGTGAGAGCAGCTGCACCTGCCTCATCTGGAAGGTCCTCTCCATTACAGGTGACTCCACTCATCCCTTCAGCAGTGTCTTCAGTTTGCTACCATCAGGAAGGATACTGAAGAGCCTCCGGGCCAGAACCAGCAGACTGAGAGACGGCTTCTTCCATCGGGCTGTCAGGATGCTGACCATTTCTGAATCGAGAAGGGGGGCCCAAGGGTACGTCTTAATGTTTCAACGCTTGGCTTACAATGCTGTGATTGTAGCCTTTCCCACTTTCTGTGAATGGGACTCATGGCCATTGATCAGTAGGCTTTGATTAGTTGTCATTGATCAATGGTCATAAGAATTTGCATACTAACAATCATGAAACTAAGCCCCCAGCACATTGTTCATTCAGTGGTGCTAGTTTCCTTCACTATGCAAATGTACTGTTAATAAGGTTGGGGAAACCTGCAGTCAGCTGAGACTGAAGAAGTCACCTGGATGATGACGAAACGTTTCTCCAGATGAACATAATCAACCTTTTGGGATTTACTTACCTGGATGATTAAGCACGCATCAAGACGTTATTTTATTAAAATTTTTAAAATGTTAGCAGCACAAACAAAAATTTTTGCAGCACAAACATTTGACATCAATTTTGTTTGATTTGGGCAATGTGGGGGGGCTGGTTGACCTTTTGACCTTTACCTTTTCATTAATATCTTTAAAACAAAGGCAGCACAAACGAAACTTTTTGCAGCACAAACGTTTGATACCACTTTTGTTGGATTTGAAGAAGGTGGGGGCCAACTTCACTCACATAAGCTAAACTGGATTTTTGCATCTATAGCAAATGTTCAAATGTTAATATTTATGGCATATTTTTCTTGTCATTTAAAAAAATCGTGCAATTATTTTGCTGTGCTGTAATACGATTCAATTTTGTTTAACCATTTTAACAATTAAAACCACGACGGTGTTACATTTTAAAGTCACGTAGTTCTAAAAAAAACAGCTAAAAATTGCGTTTGATCAGCGAAGCTTCTTCAGAAAGTCTCCTTGCACATCACTCTAACCTCTTAATGTTTCAACGCTTGGCTTAATACTGCTCCTTCTCCTCTGCATTCACTTTAGTGTGACGTGTGCAGTCCATTGTGATTCTCATAGAGGTGTTACGAACCTTCATGTTCAGGCTGAGGGAGGAATTCAAGTTGGCAAAACCTCATTTTTGGAATTTAAAGATTTTGTCTTTGAATTTTTAATTCCACGCTTTAAGCTTTAAAGTTCTGAACAGGATTTTTTTTTTATTTTTTTTTTATTTTTTTTTCCAAAGTCAAAGTCAACTTTATTTGTCGATTCTGCCACATGTACAGGACATACAGAGAATAGAAATTGCGTTACTCTCAATCCCTAGATAAATAGCAAATGAACATTTAAATATATTTAAATATAAAAGTGATTAAAAATGCAAGTAAAATAATTAAAAAGTAAAAATTTAAATAAATACAATTTTACATATAACAAGAAAGCTATACAATATAATGGGTAAGTGACATTGAGCGTAAACCAGGCAGAGTAGTGCAAGTAGGCAAATAGTGCAAATGGAGATTTAGTAGTGTACGGTAAGAGATAGTGTAACAACAAAGTCTTATGAGGTAATGGCAGTCCAATGCTCCACAAAGTGACTGGTAACTGGTGCAGGCCAGTGAGTGAGTCAGAGAATGTGTGTGTGTGAGTGTGTGTGACAGAGTTCAGTGAGACCGTGGAGGAGAGAGGGGAGAGGGGGCAGAATCGGGAGGGAGTTAAGCTTCCTGACAGCCTGATGGATGAAGCTGTCCTTCAGCCTGCTGGTCCTGGCCTGGAGACTCCGCAGTCTCCTCCCCGACGGCAGCAGCTTGAAGAAGCTTTGCATTGGGTGCGTGGGATCAGCCACTATGCAAAGGGCTTTTTTAGTGAGACGGGTGCTGTAAATGTCCTGGAGGGAGGGGAGAGAGACACCAATGATCCTCTCTGCAGCTCTCACTATGCGTTGGAGGGTTCTATGGCAGGACGCATTGCAGGCTCCAAACCACACAGTGATGCAGCTCGACAGGATGCTCTCGATGGTGCCTCTGTAGAAAGTGTACATGATGGGGGCTGGTGCTCCTGCTCTTCTTAGTTTGCAGAGAAAGAAGAGACGCTGCTGTGATTTCTTGGCCAGTGCTGTGGTGTTGTACGTCCAGGAGAGATCCTCTGTGATGTGCACACCCAAGAACTTGGTGCTGCTCACTCTCTCCACAGACGCTCCGTCAATGGTCAGAGTGTGGAGGTATGTAACAACGACAGGAGAGGTCTCAGGGTCTCACTCCAACAACTTTATTAACTGACAGAACTTCACATATGGTCAGCGCCAAAATCTCCACCCCCACACTTCCTTTCAACTTGTGTGTGAGTGGAGCCACCTGGTGGTCCGCCACACATACCCCCCCTTGAACACACAGTCAGGTCTCCATTCAGTCCAGGACCCTGGGTCTAAGCAAACGACCCGCACGACTGAACCTGGGAGGGAGAGAACAGGCAGAGGAAGGTCCATCCTGTGAACGAGGCTGGTGAAGGCGAGCAGGAAAGGCAGGAGGAGGCTCAAACGTTGGTGGTCCGGGGGTAGTCCTGGGGGGGAAAACCAGAGACTGTCAACCCCAGCGCAGGAGGTCGGCCACGGCGAGGGGCCTGGGCCGGCACTACATCACTGTCCGGAAGAACATGTGCTGGTTTAAGTCTGTCAACACACACAGTCTCCCTTCGACCCCCAAAATCCAAAACAAAATGTTTCTGGCCCGGTTCAATAACCCTGAACGGGCCGTCATACAGCGGCCGCAGCGGTGTCCTGTGGGCATCGTGCCTGACAAAAACAAACTTAGCAGTCTCTAAAGTCTTTGGAACAAAGGTGTCAGGCACGCAATGGTGCACCGGACCAGGAACCCGAAGCGAGTGCAAAAGCGGGGTGAGAGAGAGCACCGATGGATCGAAGCAGGGAGGAGGATTTTCAGGCAAGAATTCTCCAGGCACGCGGAGGGGCTGACCAAACACTAGCTCAGCTGGGGAAGCGCCGAGATCCTCCTTAACCGCAGAGCGCAGCCCAAGCAAAACCCACGGGAGGCGGTCAACCCAATTGCCATCCTTTAAGGAGGCGCGAAAGGCAGCCTTCAGCGACCGGTGGAACCGTTCACACATCCCATTAGCCTGCGGGTTGTATGCGGTTGTGCGGTGGACTTTAGCCCCCAGTCCATCAGCCATGGCCGACCAAAGCTCTGAAATGAACTGGGGGCCTCTGTCTGACGTAATGTCCGCGGGTGGGCCGAAACGCGAGACCCAGGTCGACAAAAACGCCTTGGCCACCACTGCTGCGGTAGTGGACGCCAGGGGGACCGCCTCCGGCCACCTGGTGGTCCGGTCAACAACAGTCAAAAGGTGCGTAAAACCTTGTGACTGCGGCAAGGGACCCACCAGATCGACATGCACATGATCGAAACGTTTGCCGGGTATGAAGAACGGCTCCAGGGGCGCCTTGGTGTGTTTATGAACCTTCGCGCGCTGGCAGGGAATGCACGCCGACGCCCATTCCTTAACAGATTTGCGAAGGCCTGGCCAAACAAATTTAGAGCTGACCAGTTTAACAGAGGCCCGGACCCCTGGATGAGAGAGAGCATGTACCGAGTCAAAAACTTGACGACGCCAGGAAGCGGGAACCACAGGGCGAGGGCGGCCGGTGGAAACATCACAGACGAGGAGGGGACCACCGTCCTGCACGGGTCTGTCCTCCAGTATGAGGCCCGTCTGGGTGGATTTAAGCGCGAGGATGTCAGGGTCACCGCTCTGATCGGCAGCCATGGCGGAGTAGTCTATGCCGAGAAAGACGGGAGAAACCAGCGCACGGGACAAACAGTCAGCCACATGATTGGATTTACCAGCCACGTGCCGAATGTCCGTGGTAAACTCAGAAATGGCTGCCAACTGGCGCTGCTGGCGTGCACTCCATGGATCGGAAACCTTGGACATGGCAAACGTCAAGGGTTTGTGGTCCACGTATGCGGTAAAGTGACGACCCTCGAGAAAAAACCGGAAATGACGAGACGCCAGGTGGAGCGCCAGTAGCTCCCTGTCAAAAACGCTGTAATTGCGTTCGCTGTCACGTAGCGTACGGCTGAAAAAGGCGAGCGGTTGCCAGACACCCGAGATTCGCTGTTCCAGCACCGCACCCACCGCTATGTCCGACGCATCAGTGGTCAACGCAATCGGCGCTGAGGGGGATGGGTGGGCCAGAAGGGCAGCATTAGCTAACGCTGACTTAGCATCAGAAAACGCTTGGATGCTGTCCGGAAACCAGTCAACGGGGTCATTAGCTTTTTTACCCTTTAACGCCCCATAAAGGGGCTTCAGCAGATGTGCCGCTCTGGGGAGAAAACGGTTGTAAAAATTCACCATCCCAAAAATTCCTGCAGTGCCTTAACAGTCGTGGGACGCGGAAATTCCGAAACAGCTCGGACTTTGTCAGGCAACGGAACCGCGCCCTCGGCGGAAACACGGTGCCCAAGGAAATCGAGAACGGGCAACCCAAACTGGCATTTAGACGGATTAATAATCAGTCCATGCTCCGCCAAACGCTGAAAAACCTGACGCAGATGGAACATGTACTGCTCCTTCGAGCTGCTGGCCACCAGTATATCATCAAGATATACAAAAACAAAGGGCAGCCCGCGCAAGACCGAGTCCATCAACTGCTGGAAGGTTTGGGCGGCACCTTTCAGGCCAAACGGCATGCGCAGAAACTCGAAAAGGCCGAAAGGTGTAATTACGGCGGTTTTGGGGACATCCTCCGCGCGCACGGGAACCTGGTGATATCCCCGTACCAAATCGATCTTAGAAAAAACCGAGGTCCCCGCAAGATGGGCGGAAAAATCTTGGATGTGGGGAATGGGATAACGATCATTCTCTGTGACATTATTAAGACGGCGGAAATCCCCACAAGGTCGCCACCGACCATCAGATTTAGGCACCATGTGTAACGGAGAAGCCCAGGCACTGTTCGAACGCTGCACGATGCCCAGACGCTCCATGGTGGCAAATTCTTCCCTAGCGACAGCCAGTTTGGCGGGGTCGAGGCGGCGCGCGTGCGCGCGCGAACACCGGGGGCCCTACTGTAGTTATGTAATGCTCTACCCCATGCTTCGTCACCGTGCTCGAGAAAGTGGGGACAGTGAGTGAGGGAAACTCAGAAAGCAAACACTGAAAAACGTCACCCGAATCTACTGAGTTAGCATGCACCACGGGCTGAGCACCCCGAGTCAAACAGGGTAATGAGGAAAAGGACACAGCATCAATTAAACGTCTGTTAGCCACATCAACCAGTAGTCCGTGAGCACAAAGAAAATCAGCGCCTATTATAGGCACAGAGCTAGCAGCAACAACAAAGTTCCACTGAAAGTCACGGTCGTGAAAGCAAACAGTCACCAACCTTTCACCGAAGGTTTTGATGGGAGAGCCATTAGCCGCTGTTAGCAATGGCCCGCAGCCCTCAGCTAGCCTGTCCGAGCCAGCCAGGGGAAGAAGGCTCTTCTGTGAGCCGGAGTCCACCAGGAAACGCCTCCCCGAGCGTGAGTCCTCTAAGAAAAGCAGCCTTTCCTTGTTGCCAGCGGTCGCGGCTGCTACAGAGCGCTGACATGCCCGTTTCCCTGGGTCTGGAAACTGCAAGGCGGGAGGCAGCGCCGTGCCTTCGCTCCAAAACGCTGGTGATAAAAACAAAGCCCCTTTCCGCGGTGCCGCCGTGCAGCGATTCCGGCCACAGTGGACGAGTCGGAGGGCCCGTGGAGCATCGGTGAGGGGGAGGGGGAAAACGCTGGTGGGTCCTGAATAACCGTCTGGACGCCGAAAGTCCTGGTAGCCAGGAGGATGCAATCCGCCTCTTCCGCAAGGGAGCGGTAATCCTTCGTGGCCAATAGCGGGGAGTTAGCAAGGCCAGCGCGCACTGGAGCCGGCAGCTGTCGAAGAAAGAGGTGGGTGAAGAGAAATCCTCCGTCCTCCGCGCCCAGCAAGGACAGCATGCTCTCCATGAGCTCGAGGGCGGTGCCGTCGCCCAGGCCCGCGATGGAAAGGAGTTTCTCGGCCCGCTCAGCATCAGAGAGGGAGTAACGCCGCAGCAGCAGCCCCTTGAGGGCGGCGTACTTGCCCTGGGCTGGGGGATCCCGGAGGAGAGTCATCACACGGCGGGTTGACAGCGGGTCAAGTGAGGCCACCACATGGTGGTATTTAGTGTCGTCGGCTGAAACTCCACGAAGAGCAAACTGAGCTTCTACGTGCATGAACCATGAAGGAGGATCGTGAAGCCAAAAATCCGGCAATTTAAGCGCCACAGCAAACGCAGCCATCGGCGGAGGTGAAGGTCCGGCGGCCGCCGATGCTTCCAGGCCAGAGCTGGCTTCGTCGTCGAGCCTTAGCATGTTCACTACAGGGGTCACCAATGTGGAGGTATGTAACAACGACAGGAGAGGTCTCAGTGTCTCACTCCAACAACTTTATTAACTGACAGAACTTCACATATAGTCAGCGCCAAAATCTCCACCCCCACACTTCCTTTCAACTTGTGTGTGAGTGGAGCCACCTGGTGGTCCGCCACAAGAGGAGCATGTTGGGTGTGCATTCTCCTGAAGTCCACAACAATCTCCTTCGTCTTCTCCACATTCAGAGTGAGATTGTTGTCAGCACACCACGTGGCCAGGCGTCTCACCTCACTTCTGTAGTCGGTCTCATCCCTGTTGCTAATGAGACCCACCACCGTTGTGTCGTCCGCAAACTTGATGAAGAGGTTGGAGCTGTATGATGGAGTGTATGGAGATGTAAACAGATGATAAAATTATATTATTCCCTTTGTTGTGAAGATGAAATGTGATTTATTTATCCTCAAAAAGTTGGTTACAGCAGCCAGATCATGAAAAACAACCTAGTAAATTACAATATCACAACACAGAGCTGAGACTTTGATCAGCTGTGCCTCAGTTAAAATAGGAATCATTTATTTCTTCAGACTTCTCAAAGTTTGCTTTGCTGATCTGTTGCTCAGCACTTTAATAGTTCTGCACCTCTTGCAATAAGTGCAGCTGTGAAGGTGATTGCTGCTGTGAACAAACCGCATGTATTAATAGTAATGGATCCATATATTCATTTGCCCTTAAATACTTTGTTTTACTCCTCGCCTGTGTCAGACTGCAGAGGAAGCTGTGAAGATTGCACAGCAGATTGGTAAGTCATCGGTTTTTCTGTGTGCTAAAAGTTTACAGTAAACTTTAGTGATGACAGGAAGAATCTTAGTGAGTTTGTTTACTGCAGACATGATCTCCCACACACGTGTTCCTGGCCCACTCGAGCTGTTTACTCCTATTTCTGATTATTTTTTAAATGTATTTATTTATTTTTGTTGAATTGCTGTCAATCATCACATCTTCATGGAGCTGTTACCAAAAGATAACACATTTATTATGTTGAAAATATCATTGTAGGAAAACTCAATGTGCTAAACACAGAAGCTAAAGATGTAAACGCTGTGTAGGTTTACGATATCTGAAGAGATGGAACAGATGAAAGCAGAACTCTCAGTGTGGGAATATAAAGAGTCTGTTTTACTCCTCAGTCTTAAAAGGCTGCTGGGGTTTTGCTGAGGATGATGTCTAAGCTGACATCCATCAAGGACGACACCTCCCACCCCTGCATGAGACTGTACGAGCACTGAGCAGCTCGTTCAGCAGCAGACTTTTACACCCGCAGTGTAGGAAGGACTATTACACCCGCAGTGTAGGAAGGACTGTTACACCCGCAGTGTAGGAAGGACTGTTACACCCGCAGTGCAGGAAGGACTTTTACACCCGCACTGTAGGAAGGACTATTACACCCGCACTGTAGGAAGGACTATTACACCCGCAGTGCAGGAAGGACTATTACACCCGCAGTGCAGGAAGGACTTTTACACCCGCAGTGTAGGAAGGACTTTTACACCCGCAGTGTAGGAAGGACTTTTACACCCGCAGTGCAGGAAGGACTATCACACCCGCACTGTAGGAAGGACTTTTACACCCGCAGTTTAGGAAGGACTATTACACCCGCACTGTAGGAAGGACTATTACACCCGCACTGTAGGAAGGACTATTACACCCGCAGTGCAGGAAGGACTATTACACCCGCAGTGTAGGAAGGACTATTACACCCGCAGTGCAGGAAGGACTATTACACCCGCACTGTAGGAAGGACTTTTACACCCGCAGTTTAGGAAGGACTATTACACCCGCACTGTAGGAAGGACTATTACACCCGCACTGTAGGAAGGACTATTACACCCGCAGTGCAGGAAGGACTATTACACCCGCAGTGTAGGAAGGACTATTACACCCGCAGTGCAGGAAGGACTATTACACCCGCACTGTAGGAAGGACTTTTACACCCGCACTGTAGGAAGGACTTTTACACCCGCAGTGTAGGAAGGACTATTACACCCGCACTGTAGGAAGGACTTTTACACCCGCAGTGCAGGAAGGACTATTACACCCGCACTGTAGGAAGGACTTTTACACCCGCAGTGTAGGAAGGACTATTACACCCGCAGTGTAGGAAGGACTTTTACACCCGCAGTGTAGGAAGGACTTTTACACCCGCACTGTAGGAAGGACTTTTACACCCGCACTGTAGGAAGGACTATTACACCCGCACTGTAGGAAGGACTTTTACACCCGCAGTGTAGGAAGGACTATTACACCCGCAGTGTAGGAAGGACTTTTACACCCGCAGTGTAGGAAGGACTATTACACCCGCACTGTAGGAAGGACTTTTACACCCGCAGTGTAGGAAGGACTATTACACCCGCACTGTAGGAAGGACTTTTACACCCGCAGTGTAGGAAGGACTATTACACCCGCAGTGTAGGAAGGAGCGCTACCAAAGGACATTGTGACCAGCAGCTGTCAGACTCTATTACACAGTTTAACATAATCTTACTCATCACCTGTTTAATTGACATATCACATGTTTGTAATTGCTGATACTCATTTGCATCTTGTTTGTACACTGAATATTTCACCAGGATCATTCATACCCCCCCCCCCCCCCCCCCCCCCCCCCCCCCTACACACACACACACACACACACACACTACTTTAGGTCTATATTCCTCCTGCTATAAGAGCTGTGTAACACCCACAGCTGTGTAATAAAGTTTCATTCTGTTCTGTTGCCTGACTGTGAAAAATGCACCTTTGCAGTTGTTTTGTTTTGTTGCCAGGTTACCCTGTGATGATCAAAGCTTCTGCAGGTGGAGGAGGGAAAGGAATGAGGATTGCTTGGAACGATGAGGAGACGAGGTATTGTACTTGGTCACGTGCTCAGTATACACGAGCCCATCAGCTACTCTGTCAGTGCGCCCCAGGGCAGCTACAGTGTTGCTATCACCAGTGTGTGTGTGAATGGGTGAATGACTAAGTAAAGCGCTATACAGATACAGGCCATTTACTATTTTTTAGTAAATACACACTCAATTATGTGTTGAACAAAACGTAGAAGTAATTGTTTTTATTATTACAAGCATTGCTTATGTAGTAATGACTTAAAGTACTCTACCTCAGGTAATACTGTACAGTCTTATATTGCAAATATAAGGACTAAAGCTACTGCTATTAGCTCGTACGTCTGCAGCTTATGGAAGATGCTCGTGCAGCGTCTTCTGCTCACATTAGTTAAACTCTTTGATCTTAAGTAGCTCCAAATACCACAGTTAAAATACTATTGCCCCAAACACTGATTCAGCCCCTAGTTAAACTAGTGGCCAGAAATGTGTGGGCCTTTTCCACTAGTAGCTGCTTGGGTCAGTTCAGGTTTGTAGGGTTTTCCATTAGATGGTAGTACCTGGTACCAGGCCGGAGTCTCCCATTGTCATGATGTTTGTTGTTTTGGCAGCGTTGCTTTAATGACCCCAAGCAAATGGTACTCCACTGTAATGGAAAACAACCAGAACAGATGGAGTGGGTGCTAGTGGAAAAGAGGCATTAGTGAGCTCTGAAGTTCTTCCAGAACACTATACAAACTCATTGGATAACCTAACAACACAAGCAGTTATATTATACGACATTAAACAGTCCAGGTCTTCCTTTTTGTTTCGTCCCCGTGTGTTTTACAGACGTTAGTCAAAATCACCTGTTGTTGCTAAAGTTATTCATTCAGCTCCTTGTGCTCTAAACTGAAGCTTATTTACTTACTTAACTGTTTTCCTGTTGTTACTTGTAGACCAATGGAAAGTCTGTATTTGCTCTTTAAAACTGCTGTGATCTGTGGGTGTGCTGTTAACAGGGAAGGTTTCCGGTTCTCATCGCAGGAGGCAGCATCCAGCTTTGGAGACGACAGGCTGCTCATTGAGAAATACATAGACAACCCCAGACATATAGAGATTCAGGTATATCGACTGTCTACACTGATCTCCTTTAACTTTGATGGATACATGAAAGCCAAAAGAGCAAGCGGAGGTGACTCTTTGATTCCTAAACTCCTCGTCTCAGCTCTAGATTCACTGAAATAGAAACAAACTGCACGACAGTCTGTTCAGTCGAGTCGAGAGGAGGCTGTTACCTAACAGCTCTCACAAAACGCCATCTCACAATGCACCACGCAAAGAAGCTTGAAGAGTCAGAAGGTCACACTGCCTCCTGTGAGTCAGACATGCAGCAGGCCTGCACTAATAAGACCGTGAACAGAGCGAAGCGTAGCCTAACGACTCTCCCTCTCTGCTGAGACTGCAGACGGGAGGCAGAGTTTGGCTGAATCCAGCCTGAAAAGTTCGTAGGTCACAGCCGTCCACTCTGAGTGACAGGTTCTGATGTGGGCTCAAACTATTGGATCCCAGTGTGCAGCGCTTAGGAATGCATTGAATGAATTAAAGGTTTTATGCCACAGCTGCCCTAAATGAACAGTGTTGGTATTTAACAAAATCATTAACATTTTACAAAAACCTGAAAAATAGGAAAACACGTGATTATTGTTTGACTAAGATGCTGAATGGTTTTCTTGCATTCCTGAAGAGAAACATGAGGATCACTGTACCAGCTCACATCTGAGGATCCAAGTGTGAATTTGGTGTTTTTTTATTTTAATAAAGTTTTTAGATTTCAAAGAATAATTTTCTGGACTTTTGTGACAGATGCTCTAACATGCAGGCATGTTCAGCGACATGTGTAAACCACATAGTGTGTTGACTTGAAAACCTGTTTCAGGTGTTGGCTGATAAACATGGAAATGCTCTGTGGCTCAATGAGAGGGAGTGCTCCATCCAGAGGAGGAACCAGAAGGTAGTGGAAGAGGCGCCCAGGTTAGTGAGACGTTTTTGGGCTTCGCAGTTATTTGTTTCTGTAAAGAACCCACGACAGACCCGACGACATCTTTATTGACTTGGTTGTTGTTCACACAATCGACTCAGTCGGCTGCAGCTTTCCAGCTCACAGCCCGACTCGCATCACAACAACGATGTACTGACAGACAGCACAGCCTTTGTGCCGGCGAGGCGTGATTGCAGATGCCGTGCAGGTGCGTCCATCTTCCCTGCAGCGGCACCGCAGACCACGCCCCACCACAGCTTCAAATGGACATACAGCAAGTAAATAGTAAACAAACTGGTTGTTACATGGCGCTTTTCTGCTCACTCAAAGCGCTTTAATTAGTTTTTACTCATTAGTCAATTAGTAAAACATGGAGATGAAACATGGGGAGATTAAAATCTTGTCATTAAATGTCAGCGGTCTGGGAAACTCTGTTAACGGTTAGAATTATGACTGAACTAAGAAAGGGGAGGACACAGATATTTAAATAATGAAAGTACTCCCCCTGCTGGAAGGAAGCTGTCATTACTGTACTTCCCAAACCAAGAACAGACAAACACGAAATATGTCAAAATTATAGAGCAATCACTATCCTGAGTGTAGCGTATAACACATGCACCTCTATAATATCAAACGGGGTTTGTAAGGCACAGACAATATGAGGAGCACATTACATGTAATACAGAGAATACAAGGAAATCAAATATCAGCTGCCTGGATCAGTTTAGATGCAGAAAAATCATTCGACAAAGTTAATAATCTGTTTAACATTAGGAAGATTTTGATTTAATGAAAAGGCCATTCAGTGCATTAAAGCGATTTATACAAATCTCACTGCTAGATTAAAACGAATGGCTCGCTAACTGAAAGATTCCACTTGGATTAGACAAACTCAATCACAGGAATAGAAATCAGTCAACAGAATCATGCAGCTTGTTCGTGGATGATATTATGATATATCGTTTAAAATAAACAGTGCAATCCTTTATGAAATCCTTTTAAATCACTAAAATATCCTGAGGGCAACATGACTAAAAATACACCAAAGCTGTATGAAGCAAACAAAGACTTGGCAGGATGGTCTACCTGCCTTTAGTGCCAAACTAGGCTCCATAAAAATGAATATCCTCCCACGCCTGCTGTACCTGTTCTTATCTCTATTTAATTTCAATTCAATTATATTTTATTACAGCATATCACAGCAACAGTTGCCTGAAGGTGCTTTATATTGTAAGGCAGACCCTACAATAACACATACAGAGAAAAACCCAACAATCATATGAGCCCCTATGAGCACCACTTTGGTGACAGTGGGAAGGAAAAACTCCCTTTTAACAGGAAGAAACCTGCAGCAGAACCAGGCTCAGGGAGGGGCGGGGCCATCTGCTGCAAGGTTAAGGGAGGAAGACAGAACAAACACCCAGTGCATCATGGGAAAGCCCCCAGCAGCCTAGGCCTATTGCAGCATAGCTAACAGAGGATTCGGGGTCACCTGCTTTTTCAAAAGGAAAGTTTGAAGCCTAATCTTGAAAGTAGAGATAGTGTCTGTCTCCTGAATCCAAACTGGAAGCTGGTTCCACAGAAGAGGGGCCTGAAAACTGAAGGCTCTGCCTCCCATTCTACTTTTAAATACTCTAGGAACAACAAGTAGGCCTGCAGAGCGAGAGCGAAGTGCTCTAATAGGGTGATATGGTACTACAAGGTCATTGAGACATTATTTGACATTTCTGTAAGGCTACTTTGGTTTCACATCCACTTTTGTTTCTTCCAAAGCTTTTTAGAGGCTGCATCTGTGGGCTGCTTCCCCTGTACATGGAGCTGCTATCAAGTTCTATATAATTACAAAAATGTTTAGTCCGCATGCTTATTGACCTCCACTGTGGTCTTTGTATGTCCATGGTTGTATTTCTTACTGTTTGATAGTTTTTGTGTTTTTTATTTTTAAATGTATTTAGAGCCAAATTAAGAAAACACTTAGCAGGCGGAGTTCTTACTTCCCTGATTTCTTGCTTTCCTGCCCACATTAGTTTGGTTTAGTTACACACACACACACACACACACACACACACACACACACACACACACACACACACACACACACACACACACACACGGTCTGTTTTTAATCACGACTGAGTGTTACAGAACTCTGCATTAAATCAAGTGTCAAAGCAAAGTGGAATCATTCAAAATGATAACGTTGTTGTAGCTCTAATCTGTTGTGCTTTATTTTCATAGTCTTTAAAGGTTTTTAATTTTAACAGGATGGGTTATCTCGTTAATTATCATTAATTTCCTTCCTTCCTCTTTTTCTTCTTCTTTGATATTGACTTCTCATTGTGTCCTCCCCGACTAATTTGCTGTTCCTTTGGCATATTTACTCAGAGTTTTGTGCCCTTACTTTAGTTTGCAGGGAAGCAACGTGGTCCTCCAAAGTAATCACAGATCAGCCTGTGACTCGCGGAGTTTATCTCCGTCCTCATCTCTCCCACAGCTGCCACAACGCCGTCCATGTCAGAGAAATGCCTCAAAAAATGTTTTGTTTTAGCCTGTACGATGGAGCGAAGCAGCAATCAGGTGTAAAATAATCAGCAATAAAACACAGATTTTTAATTTTGCTCTTCAATAATTTGCAATGAAAGGTGGCTGGAAGACTCGAGCTGTTTGTTTTTGTTTCAGTGAAACGAGTTTGAGCTTCTGTGTCGTGTCCATGCAGTACTTTCCTGGACCCAGTCACACGACGGGCAATGGGTGAGCAAGCAGTCCAACTAGCCAAAGCTGTGCACTACTCCTCTGCTGGGACTGTGGAGTTTCTAGTGGATTCTAAGAAGAACTTCTATTTCCTGGAGATGAACACACGACTACAGGTTCAGTTCCATTTTATTTATATGTATGACAAACAGTTGCCTCAAGGCGCTTTATATTGTAAGGTGGAGACCTTCACCTTCAGGTCACCTGATCCAGCCCTAACTATATGCTTTATCAAAAAGGAAAGTTTGAACCCTTCTCTGAAAACTAGAGAGGGTGTCTGTGGGCCCTCACAGGGAAAAATAAAGCCTGCTGTTCCTACACTCGAGCAAACTCACTGAGATAAGGCAGAGTTTGACCCCGAGCTGAATCCTGTCTGTACTTCATAAACTGCTTATTTTTACTCCAGGTGGAGCATCCAATTACAGAGTGTATCACTGGCTTGGATCTGGTGGAGCAGATGATCAGGGTTGCCAAGGGTTACCAACTGCAGCACACACAGGAAGATATCCCAATAAATGGCTGGGCCATTGAGTGCCGTGTCTATGCAGAGGTAGGTGTGTGTGTGTGTGTGTGCACCTGTAATGGTAACTGAGATCACATGAACCTTACTCGTTTACTTTACCACACAGCTTTGCAAACATAGTTGAAAATACAGCACATAAAATATGAAGATGATCCTTTATTTTGCTAACGTTGGGACTGCAGAAAATATAAAAGCAGTGCAATAATTAAAAAATAATTTAAAGCCTTTGTTTAAAGACAGCATCTTTGTTTTGTTTTATTTTAGTTACATTCAGTCAAACTTGTCGTTGCTCGTTGTCCGCCGACAAGAATCATTTCTGAGTGAAACACGAATAAAAGTAAAAACACCCAAAAATCCTGTTTCCTCTGGTAGGACCCTTACAAGTCTTTTGGTCTTCCTTCCATTGGACGCCTGTCTCAATACCAGGAGCCACTCAACCTTGACAAAGTGAGTCGATCAGTCAGTTTTCTTTTTAAACACGCGGTCTGCCGGACGCTGTCGTTTCCTGGCTCACTCTGCTTTCCTCCAGGTCCGTGTAGACAGCGGCATTCAGGAGGGAAGTGACATCAGCATCTACTATGATCCCATGATCTCTAAGGTCAGTGATATATTGGATACAAAATGTAACCATTCAGTTCCAAAGTTTATTTGTATCAGATCTTTGAAGGAGGTCGCTGCTTCACAGATGACTGCTGGTAAGACGGCTGTCGCAAACTCCCTTTACTCGTGGGCCACATACAGCCGTGGGCCAGACTAGTAAAAGTCCTCTTTCTGTCACCGTAAACAAGTTTCTGTGTTTTCTACATTTAATCCTGACCAAAAAAGATAAATACAATGATAAAAATGAAAAGGTTGAGCGATGTCAGTCGTGCACGTTAACGGCACTCAGTCAGGCCTTCAGTAAGAGTCACGATATCACGATGCCAGAGGTCAGACAGCTTTCAGGATGGCAACAGAAGTCGGTCACTTACAGCAACCAAGGTTTGTAGAGGAGCATCTCTGAATGCACAACATGTTGACCCGTGAAGCAGATACAGCAGCAGACGACCACGCCACCTGCCGTGTCTGTCAGCTAAGAACAGGAAACTTAAGGCTACAGTGTGCACAGGCTCACCAAAACTGCACAAAGCTGAAAAGTGTTCCCTGGTGACCAAGCTTGTTTAAGGCTGGGGGGATATTTTATTGGCAGTCTTTGGGCCTCTTAGCACCACCCGAGCATCATTTAAACACCACGCCAACCCGAGTGTTGTTGCTGACGATGTCCATCCCTTCATGAACACAGTGAACCATCTTCTGATGGCGAGCTATCCTGCTGGAAGCAATCGTGTCACCAAGCTCGGATCATCTCAGTCTGGTGTCTTGAATATGAAGATGAGCTCACTGCACTCAGATGACCTCCACGCTCATCAGGTCTCAGCCCAGCGGATGTGGTGAAATGGGAGACTCACATGATGCTGTTGTGTCAGTGTGGACCAAAATCTGAGGATTGTTTCCAGCACCTCGTTGAATCTAGTGTACGGCTGAGGACACAGTGGGTAAGATGGGGTGTTTGTGGAGCAGGTCGTCTACTAATCAGAAGCTCGGTGCTTCAATCCCTGCTCCAGCCTGCTTGCCAAAGTGTCCTCGGTCAAGGTACCGAACCCCGAGTTGCTCTTGACACGTTCATCAGAGTCTGTAAGTGTGAACGTTTGATAGAAAGTGGTGTAGTTGCTTGTGTAAAGATTCTTATTCAGCACTTTTCTGCTCTCAGTACTCAGCCCTTGAACAGGAATTGTGCTCATCACTTAATATACGACAGGACGATACCAACATGCACCGCGTATCCAGGAATTAAACACCTTACATTAAATCAGTGCATGTGTTTAAAAGGAAACGGGTGAGAAAATTTCACCTGTGTGCTCTGTGAGGGTGCAGGTGCTCATTCTCAGTTATGGGATGTTCTGTTTCTCTAGCCATGTTAGTGATGATTCACAGCAGCTCCTGATGACTTGACTGGTTCAATAATAACATATTAATATTCTCTGATATCAATTTGTAGCTGATTACCTACGGAGCTACACGAGCTGAAGCTCTTGGTAGGATGGAGGACGCTCTGGATAACTATGTGATCAGAGGTGGAGTACATGTTCGTAGTCTGTCACTAAAACAACATTTGTTGGGTTTTATTTCTCTAAAGTTGGATCGTTTTCTTTCCAGGTGTGACCCACAACATTCCTCTCCTGCGAGAAATCATCACTCATCCTCGCTTTGTCTCTGGTCACATCAGCACCAACTTCCTCCCAGAGGTTTACCCTGATGGCTTTAAGGGCCATCAGCTAGAGGCAGATGCAAAAAGGGAGCTGTTGGCATCAGCAGCAGTGCTCTACATCGCTGCTGAGCTTCGTTCAGCAAAGGTCCTCAGCACCCAGAGGTGAATGCTGCAGTACTTGTTGCTTGGTGCTACGTGATGGGATTCTTGGGAGAAAGTAATAGGGCTGGAGTTGTATCCTAAATCAAAGTGCAGTCGATCACGGTTCAGGCTGAGTGGACTGGCATTTATATAGCTGTTACTGAGCACTCACAGTACTTTTAAACTACAATCCACATCATCTCTTTCATACACACCAGCAGATTTTCATATACTGCATGATATTTTGTTGTCTTAAACATTAAAGTTAAAGTTCTTATAATAAAGGGCATTATTATTAAAATGAACTTGTCAGTTTCGTTTTAGCACGTCTGACATCTATAGATCCAAACCATTATTCTGTGTCCCATCTCTCAGTTATGGGGTCACTGCGTTAGCTGACCTCAGGAGCAGCGATGAGGCCTCGGTTAAAGTTTGTTCATTTCAGGGTGGCCTCCACTCCTGTGGAATGCAGCCACTGGGAGCTGTGTGTGGAGCTGGGTGAGGAACGCCAGGATGTGCAAATCAGCAAATCAGGAACTGTTTATACTGTGAGTATTAAAGCACATCTGTTCTCGTTCATTCTTGCTGTACTAGAAAGCTGAGAAAAGGACAAACCTAAGTATGTCTGTGAAGGTTCTCAGGCATCCAGGTCATCGTAGTCAAAGGAGCTTGCAAGGAAAGCGTCTGGACTTCTTTTCACTTTAGAGGAGTGAAAGAAGCCATCTACGTCCACTGTGAGCGACCATCTTTGAACAGAGGCGGGGTTTACGACACCAACTCTCTGCCATCTATAATCCAGATCCTTCCCAGACGCCTTAACGCCCACTCACATCCTGGGCCATCTGACCTCAGGAAATCAAATGATAAGGTGGGGCCAGGTTTCACAATGAACACACCCAAAACTCTGGCTGATTGGGACCCACACCCAGTTTCACACCTTGGCTCAGGTAATTAGAGGATCATCAGGGGGTCCTTTTGTCCCTCTGTGGGGGGAAACTCCCACTAGGTTTAAATCTGGGACTCTCCACCATTTGACCTTAGAACTGAAGAAGCTTCTCGGATGAGAGGTGAAACGTCTTCAAGCAACTTAAAGAAGTCCAGACGCTTTCCTTGCAAGCTCCTTTGACGACAAACGTAAGTAGTGAATATGGCCATCACAGCAGATGGCCCCGCCCCTCCCTGAGCCTGGTTCTGCTGGAGGTTTCTTCCTGTTAAAAGGGAGTTTTTCCTTCTCACTGTCGCCAAAGTGCTGCTCATAGGGGGTCATATGATTGTTGGGTTTTTCTTTGTATGTATTATTGTAGGATCTACCTTACAAAGCAGCTTGAGGTGACTGTTGTTGTGATTTGGTGCTGTATAAATAAAACTGAAGTGAATTGTGAGCATACACAGAAGTGTTAAACAGACGGGCAGGTCTGGCCTGTTCCAGTTCCTGATTTAGCCTTCTGTAAAAAGGTGATACCTGTCTTGATGATATAACGTTATAAGCTTTCACTGTTTTCTGTTCCTTTATAATTTTACTAACTTGTTGACTCTTGTTTGTGAAGAATAATAATGTGTGGTGTGACCTTTTTACTTACAAATATGTACAAAGAACACTGAAGACATTCACTTTCAGTTTGAGTTCAGAACAGTTGGCAGGAGGCTCCATCTGTACTGTAAGTGCAGTGATAGAGGAAACCCAAAATCGCACAGTCCACTATCAACAGCACTTGGTGAGGAAAAGCTCAGACAGAAGCTGCCATCTGCTGTGACTGGTTGGCTGAGAGGGGAACTGATGGGTACAATTTATCACACGCAGCAGCGGTGTGTATAGACCTGAGGAGGGAAGTCCTCCAGTCTGAGCCCACAGCAGCATTACTGAGAGCTGGATCACATGACCCTGATCCATGGTGACTCCTAACGAGGCTTTATGAAAAAGGAACGTCCATCCATCCATCCATCTTCATCCACTTTATCCGAGGCCAGGTCGCGGGGGCAGCAGCCTAAGCAAAGAGGCCCAGACCTCCCTCTCCCCAGCCACCTCCTCCAGCTTATCCGGGGGAATACCAAGGCGTTCCCAGGCCAGCCGAGAGATATAATCTCTCCAGCGTGTCATGGGTCTGCCCCGGGGCCTCCTCCCGGTGGCACATGCCTGGAACACCTCACCCAGGAGGCGCCCAGGGGGCATCCTTGTCAGATGCCCGAACCACCTCAGCTGGCTCCTTTCGATGTGGAGCAGCAGCTGCTCTACTCTGAGCCCCTCCCGGATGGCCGAACTTCTCACCCTATCTCTAAGGGAGAGGCCAGCCACCCTTCGGAGGAAGCTCATTTCTGCCGCTTGTATCCGCGATCTCGTTCTTTCGGTCACTACCCACAGCTCGTGGCCATGGGTGAGGGTAGGGACGTAGATCGACCGGTAAATTGAGAGCTTCGCTTTTACACTCAGCTCCCTCTTCACCACGACGGACCGGCGCAGCGTCTGCATTACTGCAGCTGCAGCCCCAATCCGTCTGTCGATCTCCGGCTCCCTTCTCCCATCACTCGCGAACAAGACCCCGAGATACTTGAACTCCTCCACTTGGGGCAGGAACTCATCCCCGACCCTGAGTGGGCACTCCACCCTTTTCCGGCTGAGAACCACGGCCTCAGATTTGGAGGTGCTGATCCTCATTCCCGCTGCTTCACACTCGGCTGCGAACCGTTCCAGTGCGAGCTGGAGGCCCTCACCCGATGAAGCCAACAGAACCACATCATCTGCAAAAATCAGAGATGAGATTCTGAGGCCACCAAAGCGAAAGCCCTCCACCACTTGGCTGCGCCTAGAAATCCTGTCCATAAAAATTATGAACAGAACCGGAGACAAAGGGCAGCCCTGGCGGAGCCCATCACCCACCGGGAACGAGTCCGACTTATTGCCGGCAATGCGAACCAAGCTCTTGCAACGGTTGTATAGGGATCGAATGGCCCGTAGCAATGGGCCAGACACCCCATACTCCCGCAACACCTCCCACAGGACACCCCGAGGGACACGGTCGAATGCCTTCTCCAAGTCCACAAAACACATGTAGACTGGTTGGGCAAACTCCCATGCACCCTCAAGTATCCTGGAGAGGATAAAGAGCTGGTCCAGTGTTCCGCGACCAGGACGAAAACTGCATTGTTCCTCCTGTATCCGAGGTTCAACTAGCGGACGAACTCTCGTTTCCAGCACCCTGGCATAGACTTTCCCAGGGAGGCTGAGGAGTGTGATCCCCCTGTAGTTGGAACACACCCTCCGGTCCCCTTTCTTGAAGATGGGGACCACCACCCCGGTCTGCCAGTCCACAGGTACTGCCCCTGATCTCCACGCAACATTGCAGAGGCGTGTCAACCAGGACAGCCCTATAACGTCCAGAGCCTTCAGGAACTCGGGGCGGACCTCATCAACACCAGGGGCTCTGCCACCAAGGAGTTGTTTAACTGCCTCAGTGACCTCGCCCCCGGAAATTGGCGGGTCATTCCCCTCATCCCCAGACTCTGCTTCCTCCTCGGAAGACGTGTCAGTGGGATTCAATCAATCAATCAATCAAAGCTTTATTTGTCACAAGCAGGTTGCCCTGCAGTGACAATGGGACCCCCCCCCCCCCCCCCCCCCCCCCCCCCGACCTTGCACGCATAACACAGACATCACATGGGGTTACAAGTCGGAGATCGGTAGCATTACAGAAAAGAACACTGAAATGTGCACAACAACGGGAGGGTACAAGAGGAAAAAAAGAGACCTCCACTCATGCTGTGCTTCCATGGTAGGACAGCACGAGAACAGGAAACAAAAAAACTCCTCTGCACAAAAAAAGCACATGAATGGCCACAGCACAACATTGTGAAAGACATGACAAGCCACAGGGTTGGGTAGGGGATATCATAACACAATAAACACAGTGTGCACATCTGATCTGGGACTGCTGCAATCTTTCGACTGCACCACCAGCTGACCCGATGTCCACATCATGGGGGAGGTAAGCATCGAAGGCGTTAGAAGGGGAGGGGGGATGAGTGAGTGATTATCAGTGTAAGTGTGTGTGTGTGTGTGTGCGTGTCCATAGTTCAGCTGAGACAGTGTCCTTCGCCCTATCAGGCTAAGTAAACAGTCCTCCAGCCAATCCAGGTGGCCTTGCATGGGATGGGAAGAATAGTCATCACACAGTCGTTTTCAGGGAGTGATTGTTCGGCTCCAGCCTTGGGCCTGCAGCTGGCGCCGTGGTGGTGTCCGCATTACGATGTTGATTTTGTTGATTTTTCATGCAAGCAGCCCAGGAGAATTTCAAGCTGCTCTTTAACACTCTGACACTGGTCTCGCAATCTCCCGTTGGAGAGCCGCGAGCCTCCCCATGATGGTATCAAACTTCTGTTCCATGGTGTTGTCATTCTTTTGATTCTGAGACCTCACAACTGCAGTGATCCGTTCCGCGATGTGTTCCAACTTTCAGCCCGCCGCCTCTCACCAGGGGCAACTCCAGACTGAGACAGAGTCCAGCCCCTCTCCAGGAGACTGGTTCCAGAGCCCAAGCCATGTGCAGAGGTGAGCCCGACTATATCTAGCCGGTACCTCTCAACCTCACGCACGAACTCAGGCTCCTTCCCCACCAGAGAGGTGACATTCCATGTCCCTATTGCCAGTCTTGGCAGCCGGGGGTCAGTCCGCCAGGGCCTCCGCTCCTGGCCGCCACCCGGCACACAATGCACCCGACCTCTATGGCGCCTCCTGCGGGTGGTGGGCCTGTGAGAGGATGGGCCCATGTCTCCTCTTCGGGCTGTGCCCGGCCGGGCCCCATGGACTAAGGCCCGGCCACCAGATGCTCGCCCTCGGGCACCCTCCGACTGTCTCCAGGGCGGGGCCCCGGTAACCCTATCCTGGGCAGGGTAAACTGTTCCCTCGATGTTCTCTTCATAAGGGTCTTCTGAATCGCTCTTTGTCTGGTCCCTCACCCAGGACCAATTTGCCATGGGAGACCCTACCAGGGGGCAAAAGCCCCCAGACAACATAGCCCCTGGGATCCCTGGGACACACAAACCCCTTCATCACGATAAGGTAGCGATTCAAGGAGGAAAAAGGAACGTTTTAAGCTTAATATTGTGACCTTTTCACAGTTTCGCCCGGTTCGTAGATTGCTCAGGCCTCCAGAAAGAACACCGGCGACTCAGTAGTCAATTCCCAACACTTTTATTAATCCACACTCATTGATCACACCTATTGATTACACCTTCTAGAAGGGAGATGTACAGGACCCCGGAACTCCTCTGCAGATCTCAACTCCTTTGTCTGTTACATGCAGTTTTGTATCAGTGACCCCCCTTCTAAACCCTCTACAAGGTGCCATAAAACTAAGTACTATGTTTACATACTTTCGTGTGTGTGTGTGTGCGCGAGCCTGTGAATGCCTACATGTGCGCGTTCCCGCGTGCCTATATGAGTGCTCGTGTGTGACTGTGTGCGCATACCTGTGTTTATATGTGAGTGCACATGAGTGAGTGTGCGTGTGGATGTGTGTGCGTGACAGTTAAAACACTGTGGGGGTAGGTGACTCCCTAGAGGTCATAAAAACCCATCTCCCTTCCAGACCACAGTTATCCAGTTACAAATGTTGAGACCCCCACCCAAACATCCTCTGGGGAATTTCCACTCAGTGGGGAAGGGGTCTCCTACAATCTACTCCTAAGTTCACAACACAATGAGCCCTTTATTATATTAAGGGCAGTGTCAGTGTCTCTGCAATAGTTCTACATTCTATGATAACACATTTCTAAACTCTAAATCAGCTAAACATTCTACAATATCAAGACTAGAGATGGTGTCAGTCTCATCAGTCCACACTGGGAATTCCACGGTGGGTCTGATTAAATGTTATCGCTAGTTAAAGTCCTCGGCTTAGCAGACCTCTAACTCAGCTTGGCTACAGAGCTGGGGTTGTCCTCTTAGTGATGAGGTGAGATGTCCCAGTTTAGGGTTGGGTTTGTTTGTTCATCTAGATTTAAAAAACAAACTATTTTTCCTGGCTTTCCACTCCACCTTACAAAATATCTGCCTTTAATGCACATTTAAAAATTATATCAAGGAGTCAAACTTCTGCTCTTTTTCAGAGTATCCAGTATGCAGTGAGGAAGTAATACTGGTAACATGATAACTGACCTCTGTGGCAGCAAAGTTTATCTACACTGTGTCAGGAGACAGAAACAGAGCATAGAAAAAAGTGCTTTTGCAAATGGGAGTAAATGGGTGAACGAGGCAAGTTACAACGAGTAGAAACGAGCTAAATAAGAAGCAGTACGTTCACACAGCAGGTCGAAAATAATCACTACTTTAAATTCAGTTACTTGACCTTTTACATAGAAACGGAGCCATGGGGTGGCAAGCAGGGGAAAGGGTGTATCTAATAAAATGGCAGGTGAGTGTATTTGACTGCAGATTAAGTTTAATATGAATTTAAAGATTAGTTAATAGGAATTCAAGCCAGAATTTGTCTTGATTGGAAAGCTATTGGTGATCATCAGAAGTCCCGATTCATTCAGATAATAAAACAACAGTGTGAGCATTGTGTGATGTGAAAGAGTGGCTCTCCAGTTAGACTGTGTTAACTGTGTCTGCAGGTGGAGATAGATGGAGCGAAGGTGGAAGTTTGGGGAGCGTTGAATCTGGCCTCCCCATTGCTGCCACTCACAGTCAACGGCACACACAGAATGCTACAGGTAACACACAGCTAAGTGTTGGTAAAGAGACCTCAAACGGATTGGAGCCATGGTGATATGGTGGAAAAGTGGTAAAACCAAAATGTCTGTCCATGTGGTGCAGCTTTTATCAGTGCACTCAGTTACTTCATGCCTCATTCCTGCCTGACCCTCTGAAGACGCAGCAAGTTTTTTTAAATAGTTTTTAAACTGGGGGACACCGGCGTCTTGGCAGAACAAATTTAGAACAGAAATGTGCTAAACTCACCAGTAACAATAAAATAATGAAAGATGTCAGCTGTAATACAGATAACGTATTCTCTCTTTTTTATAGTGCCTTTCCAGAGATGCTGCAGGAGTGATTGTCCTACAGTACCTGGGCACCTTGGTAAGACTGAATAATTCAAAATGTAGGCTAGTGGCTGTATGTATGTATGTATGTATGTATGATCAGAAGAACTTTCCATGTTATTGATATATTGCAGTGCCAAACATCCCACTGTTCCCCATACGTTTCTTTTTCTTGTAAATATATATAGTTTAAGGTTCGAGTTCTGTCCAAGCTGGCTGCAGAGTTGAACTCCTACATGCCAGAAAAAGCTTCAGAGGACACGAGCAGCATCCTGCGTTCACCGATGCCGGGAACAGTTGTGGCTGTATCTGTCAAACCTGGAGATACGGTAACACATTCCAATATGTACACATCGTTTAAATGCTGTTTAATGAGTTCATAGTTCATAATGGGGAAAAGCCTGTTGTAGTTGACATGTTGCTGGTAAGACTGTGCAGATGTGCAGAAATGATTAAGATTCAACATTATTTTAATTCTTAAGCATAGAATCAAAGTTTAAGTTGGTGAGTTTTTGAATGCATGCTGCAGCCTGTGAGTGTATTTTGACATTTCATGTTCTTATATATTCATAGATTAGAGTCACTGAATGTTGTTGGGCGTTATTTTAAATGTATGGGGTTTTTTTCTCCCTCTGCAATCACACCAAACAGTTTTACTCCAAAACTAGACTGTTTTATCTGTTTAATCCATGTTTTTATCTTCAGTTCACTCACATTACTCTGTCAGGTTCTCATAATTGTCCATGTTAACATTATTCATATTCCTCAGAAACTGGCGATGCTGCCCATCTTTCACTACCAGCGTAATGCTTAAATGAGGTCAAGCACCCTGTGTATGAATGGGTGAATGAGGCATGTTGTATAAAGAGCTTTGACTGCTCAGGTAAAGTAGAAAAACACTATAAGACCAGGTGAGCCAGGAGATTGAGCCTATCAGTGAAAAGAAAGGAAAACCATTATTTTTGCAGTTAACAAAATGCCATCAGTTTGTCACAAGAAACATTTGGAGTCTACGTGCTGCCAGTCTCTGTTCAACAGGGCTGTCGCTCCTCGTAGATGGCAGCCTGAGCTTCAAATAAATCTCTTGAATATGCGCATGTTGACAAATGGTGCACGGAAGGCAGCAGGAGTAGCTTTTAGTCATCCCTTCTTAAACATTTACATTTACAGTTAAGCCATTGCTTTTACACACTCTGTTTTTTTTAGGTTGCAGAAGGTCAGGAGATTTGTGTAATTGAAGCCATGAAGATGCAGAACAGTTTGACTGCTGTCAAGCAAGCAAAGGTAACAGGAAATGTGACAGTTACTCCCATCACTAGATTTCAGTAGTATTATCTAGGTCGGGGGGTCAAACTCCGGTCCTCAAACGCTGGTTTCTTCAAACTTCTCCATGGTTCCTGCTGCAACACACCTAAATAAAAATAATATGTGATTAGCAAGACTCTACAGTGACCTGACTGCATGCTGAGGAGGCAACCCCTAACCCTACTCAAGTAAATTTAAATATATATATAAGTAAATGTTTTTAGAAAAATGTACTTCTAAAAGTTTGTTTATTGCACTCATGAGCTGCTGTAACATGAATCAAATGGCTGAACTGCCACCTCAGCATTCAGTCAAGTTCTAGTCCAGACAGACATCGGCCCTGAAAGACTGGAGTGTGACATCCGCAATCCAGAGCATAGAGTTTAAGTGGTGTGTTTGTAAAACTGTAAATGCATTATTTAAAGTTTGTGTTTAACTGCACGTGTGTCCTTACAGGTTAAGAGTGTCCACTGTAAGCCGGGCGAGACTGTGGGGGAAGGAGACCTGCTTGTGGAGCTGGAATAAAACATGATCTGTTCCCTTTGACATGTGACTTGTGTGAACTGGGACAGATGGAGTTGAATTGTGTCACAATGTTGGTGTGGGTGCTCAGTTGTCTTGTGTCTTTGATTCAGCTGACTGTTCCAATTACTCTGTTGTACTTAGGTTTTACTGCTTAATAGATATTGTTGTTGGTAGGCCAAACATTGAAATTTGGATGAACTGACTGAGAAAAATAAACAAACTTTTCCAAATAAAATAACTTTCAGTTTTTGTTTTTCTTCACACACAACAGTCGCCTCAAGGCACTTTATATTGTAAGGTAAAGACCCAAGAATAATACAGAGAAAACCCAACAATCACATTTTCCACTTTGAGCAAGCACTTTGGCGACGGTGGAAAGGAGAAACTCCCTTTTAACAGGAAGAAACCTTTGGCAGAGCCAAGCTCAGGGTGGGGCGGGGCCATCTGCCATGATTGGTTGGGTGTGAGCAGGACAACGACACACTGTGGAAGAGAGGCAAAGATTAATAATTAACAGAGTGGTGTATACAGTACACAGTAAGTGAAATAGAAACACAAACTGGGATTTGATTCAATAGAAGAGGAACCTGGAACCTAAGCTAAGGGTTGTTTCCCATTCTAATTAAATACCCCAGGACCCACAGAGAAGCCTGCATCTGTATGCAATGACAGTACGATGAGCTCTTTAAGATAAAAGTGACAGTAGTCCAGCCTGGAAAGCATGCTAGCAAGCTAGGAAGCATGTATAATGTAAACAGAATTGGTCCTAGCACTGAACCCTGTGGAACTCCATAATTAACCTCAGTGTGTGAAGAGGACTCTCCATTTACATGCACAAACTGGAGTCTATTAGATAGATATGATACAAACCACTGCAGTGCAGTACCTGTAATACCTACAGCATGTTCTAATCGCTCTAATAGGATATTATGGTCGACAGTATCGAACGCTGCACTGAGGTCTAGCAGGACAAGCACAGAGATGAGTCCACTGTCAGAGGCCATAAGAAGATCATTTGTAACCTTCACTAAAGCTGTTTCTGTGCTGTGATGAGCTCTGAAACCTGACTGAAACTCTTCAAATTCCTGCATTCCTTGTAGGGGGTGACGGATTACTTCTATGAAACAGTCGTGTAAGATCACTTGGTGATGGTGGAAGAGAAACATACATCTCAAACAATTTTTATGTTGTAGATCTAAACATTTCTGAGTGCAATAATTGTAGTTGATGACCTTTGGTTTGTGTCCAAAGATATAACAATACCCTGCCTTTCCAAAAACGAGGTTAATAGCTCTTTGTGAATCACTTTTAGATACTCATCTAAATTGTGTTTTTCTACTATGTGTGTTTCCTTTTTTTTAAGGAGACACTGCAGAGTATGCTGAGTCATGCTAGGGTTCCAGCTAATAACTGTTAATCATCTTAGTGTAGAAAATGTTGTTTATCAAACTGCATTATCTTTGTTTGCTTTTAATGTAACGAAATAAAAGGTAACATCAGAAGTCTGTTGCTCTGGTAACGAACAGAAACCTTGTTTCTCTCATTTCAAGGTTAACAACCTCTGAATTTTCATCACTCATGGTCTCAGGGAGGTCTAAAGTTGTTTGTAGTGTCTGAACATGTTCAGGTAAGTAAATACAACAAAAAGCTCTGAAACCTGTGGCAAAAGTGAGGAACCTTAAAGGCCGGTGGCCTCTAAAGGCCTCTATGCAAACCAAGATGTGAAGGATGTCGTTTTCAGTGGGAGAAACGTTTCGTCGCTCATCCAGGAGACTTCTTCAGTCTCAGCTGACTGCAGGTTTCCAACCTTATAAACAGCACATTTGCACAATGACTGCAGCTCCACTGACTAACAATGGACTACCATTCACAGCTTTCTGAGTACATAGTACATAGTGAGTACATTAAAGTACTCTTAAGGTTAAGAGGGGGGACAAAGTAGACAATTGTTTTGAGTGATGTACTCAGAAAGCTGTGTTTCTGTTTCCAGCAGACATAACCTTTGGCAATGTGCAACAATCAGAGTAAACGGTTGAGGACGTCTGGAAACAAACACAGAGCCGTTTCCTTGTTGAGAATATTGAGCATTAAAGTTTCTATGAGTCGAGGTTAGATGCGTGATTATCCTCTTATTGGGGAAAATGTCTTTGTCCAGAACCACGTGGGAACATGAAATGGATCATTTTCTGCTGTAACCCACAAACTAAACGGTAATGTACCCACACCCATCTTTCACTTTTTCACTACAGTAAAACATCACAAGTCCGGTTATTTGAAACAATCACTGGATCCGCTCTCGACGCTGCCTTGGCACCTGAAGTTGTTCTTGGGGAAGCAGAACAAAGAGGGTCGCTGGGCAGCCATGTTGAAAATCAGCATTGTCCCCTTGCAGCAAGAAGGTCTAATTTCCTGGCCGGCTTGGCCGTTTCTTTGTCATGTTTACGTGTTCTCCTTATGCCTGTGCTATATTGTTATAATAAGGTCCAACAGGTCACAGCCTCTAACACATAGGTGTCAAACTCTGGCCCGCGGGCCAAATTTGGCCCGCAGCCTAATTACATTTGGCCCGCGAAGCCATACCAAATTATTATTAGAGCTGGCCTGCTGGTATTATACAGCTAATATATATATTGTTTAGTATTAAGCTTGGCTTGTTCCATATTCAGTTTTTCAGAAAAACGTGTCCATAAGAAGAGATTCATTCTTATATCTGGAGGAAGATTTTTTTTTTCAATAAATATTAACGTTAGCCCGCGACTTTGTTCCAGTTTTGAATTTTGGCCCACTGTGTATTTGAGTTTGACACCCCTGCTCTAACAGCTCTGCAGTGTTTTATGGGGACAAACCTTGCTAACGCCTAATGTTTTGCCCAGAACCAGAGCCAGCAATTGTTTTTCAGTAAATAAAATTTACTGGCATCTGCTTCCCATAAAGGGACACAAATAATATTTCACATTCACACATCTGGACATTTCAGAATGGTCAGTTAACCTAACATGCATGATTTTAGACTGAGTGAACCCATGTAGGCATGTAAGGAAGAGGACTCCCTTAATATCATTATTTGTATTATAATTTGTACAGCACTTTATTTAGATTTAAACATAGGTTTGCACATCAGTAACATTTGCACACAAGAGGTTTAATTATTTATTGAATATTTATTGAGTATTTTAATGATTAGCAGGTAGCCTTTTGTTCCGGCTCCTGCACGGCTGCTCCTCATCAAGAAATGTGGTGGTTGTCTGTGAGGAGGAAAGGATTGTTACTGGGAGCAAATAAGGCCTACTATGAAGGAGAACTAATGCAAATGTGCGTGCAAAGTCTAACGCACTGCAAAGAAGTAGCTGCTGAGATGAGATTACTCACCTGTCTTTCCTGTGTCCTCTCCAGGATGTTGGGGCAAATGTTTCCCGGGGTCCAAACACCATTTAAAAGTTCCGGGAGAGGCAAAGGGAATCTTTGTGCATGGGGTTTTTGGTGTTTCTTGAATAAATATTAAATATTTATTTAATAAAATGGTGTATCGTAGAATGTTGGTGGAACGTTAGAATTGGAAAACTCACCTGACATCGTTTAGGCCACTTAGAACACACAGGAGGACTTCTTCCTATGTTCTGAACCTTTCAGTCGTCAGCTACTATAAGACGCTTGAATTTACAATATCTTTCTTATCTCAAGAGTAATCTCTGACAACTTATGATAACAAACATGCTGGAGTTCAGACTGAACTGCTCTTAAGTTTTAACCCCCCCAAAATAGAACATCCATATTAGCATCCATGTTCCTTCTTCAACGATGAAAAGTAACTTTCTGTTTAAATGACACCATCGCAGATTCAGCCCATTTGCCAGGTCGTAAAAACCAAGAACTCTATTTTTGTAGAAACAGGTACTTTTAATATCTAAAAACAAAGAGAAAACATGCGCTCTCCACCTGAAAGTAAAGAAATGGTTGTTTTGTAAAGACAGCGTGGAACAGCAAAAACCTGTCACAATGGGTTTGATATCTATGGCAACAATGTTTGCATGAACAGAATAAATAGTGACAGTTTTTTAACCTGGAAATTTAGTGTTTTATGATGTATATTTCACCATAATGTATAAACAGGTGTTGTACTAGTGCTTAGTTGCACAGACATTCTGGCACCAAGTTAATTCCAGGGGGTTCACATGAACTGACTTCATATTTGGCAGACTGTTTGTCAGCGTCATGCACAGCATGGTCGTACACATAAAAACATCAGTTACAGAATCCCAGAGCTGATGAGGACAGGGGGGTGTGGCCTGATGAGTCCAACTTATCAGTCAGTTCATCGAATGAATCGTTCAGGATTTGCAGTCTTGTAGTGTATTTGTTCCAACCCTTTTAAGCTGTTTGCATTTTTGTAAATGATGGTAATTTAATGAAAAAGAGCTAGTTAACTTAAAATAGTGACCAGCTGACATACTTCTAATTTATAGTTTGCATATTTTGATGTAGCATAGAGACTTCAGCTGCTTCTTCTTATCATCGGTTTTTGTCTGCAAAATGACTCCACCTACAGTGTAACGTGCACACACACATATGCACACAACATGATATGACAGATTTTGCCTTCCAGGGAAATGATGTCCAGCTTTGCACAACAGATATGAACTGCAGTTCCACTCTCATTCCTGTCCACTCTGTACTGAGTATACTGAAGTTGTCAGAGAGCTGCAAATATGCCACAGCATGTGTCCCACAGAGGAGGGTTAGGGTCTGTGTGTCTGCTGGTGTCCACTTGGTAAGTGTGGAGTGTTCTCAACAATCCCCTTCCGTGCATTGTCTCCTGGAGATCTTTGCATTTGTGCTTTACTGTAGTTTATCCCAGGGAAACATGATTTCTCAGGCAGTCAATCATTGCCCATCTCGGTGTTGACTGATAATGTCCCGAGTCCATTTGATCATAGTCTCAGGAGATCGATAGAGAAAGATCAGTTTGGAGTAAAGTTCCTCTTCTAACTCCAGTTCCCCTGTCTCACGCACCTGAAACACACAGACGTTTAGTCGACATGGATTTTAAAGAATCGCAGCTCCAGACACGACTGTGTGTTTTTGTAGTTTCAATGTGTATGTGTGCGTTTAGCAATTTGGAAATACTAACTTTAATTATTCTCTGTTATTGGTGAGTCTACATTAAATGCATGTGTGTTATTATACATGCAGCGCACACTTACCAAGAAGATATCAGTGCAGAGCTTGAGAATGCGG